GGACGTGTCTTTTCACCTTTTTTAAAGTGTCCCTATCACTACTCACTGCACAAAATGCAACTTCTATGGTTTGGGGACTCATTCGTAAACCAAACCTACTTCGTCACACTCGCGATAACTGTACACCATCTCTAAATATTCTTGGTTCGTATACCGAGGCATAATGAAATTATCACAGTGTATGTCACTAAGTCAAAAGATGCGCACGCCCACGCGCGATTGATATACTTGCGACTGCGTTTTGCATGCAATCAAAGCAAACCACCGCGTGCGGGGAAGAGGGGTAGAGTACTACTGATGCTGGAACTGCACTTCTCAAACACATTTTTGATATATGGGAGAGTAAGCACGATGCTATTGGCATTTTTTGCGATTTATCTAAGGCGTTTGACTGCGTTAGCCGTGAAACATTGTTAAATAAAATGAAGGATTATGGTGTATCAAATATTTCACTAAGTCTGATACAGTCTTATCTTTCTGCTAGGATTCAGAAAGTAGTTATAAATGAAGCTGAGTCTACAGGAGCACCCATTTCTATGGGCGTGCCCCAGGGTTCAATATTGGGCCCATTGCTTTTCCTTATTTATATTAATGACCTTCCTCACTTTACAAGAGATTTGTGTGAGACAGTACTATTTGCTGATGACACCTCTTTAGTGTTTAAAGCTAGGAGAGGAAATGATTGTTATGACGAAGTAAATTGAGCTCTCTCTGAAGTCCTTCACTGGTTTACGGTAAATAATTTAAAACTAAACTCTAGCAAAACAAAATGTGTTAAGTTTACTTTACCTAATGTGAGGCAAGTTAATACTAGTTTAAAAATAAATGACCAGCCTGTAGAGTTAGTGGATTCTACAAAGTTTCTGGGTATTACTTTAGACTCGCATCTGCAATGGGATCCTCATATTGATGCCTTATCAAGTAGACTGAGCTCTGCGGCCTTCGCTGTTAAAAAAATAAGACTCCTAACTGATGTGGAAACGGCAAGAATGGTTTACTTTGGTTACTTTCATAGCGTTATGTCATATGGCCTTTTGTTTTGGGGCTCAGCTGCTAATATAGAAAGTATTTTCGTACTGCAAAAGAGAGCTGTTCGCGCCATATATAATTTAAAGGCAAGAGAATCTCTTAGAGAAAAATTTAAAGAAATTAATATTTTAACACTGGCATCGCAATACATCTATGAAAATATAATATATGTAAGAAGAAACTATGACGCATTTGCAAAAAAAAGTCAAACCCATAACTTAAACACGAGATTTAAGAACCAGCTTGCCGTTCCATGTTTCAGACTCCAAAAATCAAGAGGTTCATTTCTGGGATGTAGTATTGCATTTTTTAACAAAGTTCCCCAAGATCTGATTGAGCTTCCACTAACCAAATTTAAATCTCAGATTAAAAATACTCTTATGAATAAGGGCTATTATAAAGTTAATGATTATCTAAATGATCGTAATGCATGGACATAGTGTTTCTTGTAATTTCTTATTTGATGGGTATGAGTCAGTTTTGTAACAGTAGTATGGTACCTATCTAATGCCGCTTCCTATATATACTAAATATAAAATTTGTTGTAACTATATATCTATACCCTAAATAATGTAATGGAAGGTGACTTCAGAAGTATGTGTGAAGTCATTTTTCAACTTGACGACTCTGTATATATCAATACAGGGAGAAAAAAGCAGCCCTTGCTGAGTTTCTTGCCGGTTCTTCTCAGTACAAGGTCTCCCGCCGTAGTTTTGCGAACCGATGGCGTAGCTTCTTGACTTTCACAAGTGCTTGTAACAGCCTAGACTGAATAAATGACTTTTCATTTCATTTCATTTCATTTCATTTCATTTCATTTCAGAGGTGGGCGGAATTCACATCATCAAAGACGCCGCAACCGGCGCTAGTTGCCAGCGTGCGGCGCGCCGCCCGCCCGTGCTTGCCGCAAAACAACATATTATTACGTGTGTGTGTGTGTGTGTGTGTGACTGTGGCTGTGATTAAATGTGTTGGGAATTTCGTGACGTGGGCAAATCAGACACGAAGAGTTCCTTCCTTCACTAAGCTCGTAAGTTATACCGATTTGCTCTGTATGATTTTTCCCAATTTAATAAGCCGTTTGTGCTTAAGTTTTAATTAAACGAGGCAACTAACATTAACAATAAAAAAGAAGTTCTTACACTAACAGACAGGCTTTACCGATTAAAAATCGTGACAGTCATATTAACTTTATAGGATTTTTAATTGCTCTAACAGAAGATTTATTTTATTGATTAATTACCTGTGCTTTATGAAACAATATTCAAAGGTATTGTGTATCAGTGAATAAATAATTATAATATAGCATCTTAAGACTATTTTATTGTAATGTTTTTAAATAGTGTGGACGACCTCCGTGGTCGAGTGGTTTGTACGCCGGGTTTCATGGTGTCGCCGACTCGAGAGGTCCCGGGTTCGAATCCCGGTGGGGGCAGATGTTTGTGTGATGAATACGAGCATTTGTACTCCAGTCATGGATGTTTAATATGTATTTCTATATAAATATACTTATATATGTACAGTATATGTATTCTATCCGTTACCCTAGCATCCCATAACACAAGCCTTACAGTGCTTACTTTGGGGCTAGGCTAATTGGTGTGAGTGTCGGAATAAAAAAAAAAATAAAAAAAAAAAAAAAAAAAAGCGGAGAGTAGGTAAGTGCCGAGTCATCTGTGCGTGTAGTAGGTACCTACACAGGCGGCCGCGGTTTCGCCCCGACCGGCGCTGATCTCGACTGGAGGCATAATGAAGGCATTCATTAAGTTTCCGTTTTTTTAGTAGTGCTTATTTTAAGTTGCTTTATAACTTCTATGTAGACGTGTTTAAAATGAATAATTACTCATAAGGAAGAAATGACAAAAAAATAACCAAATAAAAAATTAAAAAACAAAAAATTTTATTTTAAAAAATCCGAAAAAAATCATGCATACTCTATACACGTAACCCAACAATCTCACGAAGTTTCATAGAAACATTCAATTTCACCCTGTATAAGTATATTTTTTTTTTATAGAAATACATATTAAACATCCATGACTGGAGTACAAATGCTCGTATTCATCACACAAACTTCTGCCCCCACCGGGATTTGAACCCGGGACCTCCCGAGTCGGCGACACCATGAAACCCGGCATATGTTTGTGTTTTATTGGTCAATAAAATGGTTCTCTCTCTCTCTCTTAAAGATAATATTAAGTCCCTTGTATCACCTTACCTTCATACATATATTTTAAATAGCTATCTGAAACAAGGCGTCTTTCCTAGTGTTCTTAAAAGATCGGTGATTACTATAATAAAACTAGAAATCAGGTTCTATTGTAAATTATAAACCTATCTCAATATTCCCAACCAAATCTAAAATATAAGAAAAAAAATCACAGACTGATTTGGAACCAAATAATATTATCTCGGTCAATCAATTTGGTTTTCCCAATGACTTCCTCACTTGCAACCTTGAAGTAGGTAATAGATGTATTTATATATATTTCTAGTTAAGGCAAAAGCTTTGGTATCATCTCCATTCCAATCCTTGTTACTAAGCTAGAAAATATAGGGATCCCTACTTAAGTGGTAGATTAAAATTACAGCACGGAGTTCCACAGGGAAATATTTTGGGCCCAACACTGTTTCTTATAGACATCGATTATCTCTTAAATAGACTTTCGCTAACAGCTAAATACATATATCCTTTCCATAAAAATCTTCAATTGTAATACTAACTTAAAAACTAATTTTACACTTCTCTGACTGACAATACTCTTAACAATGAAACTTGCTGTTCCTGTTTAGCTATGGATTGCGTTCCATCAACTAGATACCTTGGCATTATTATTGTCGAAAATCTGAATTTCAATCATCGGCAAGAATTCGTAAGGGATCCCTTTTTAAAGTTATACGTCATGTTTTACAACCTCATTGTATTATACAAATATATTATGTGCTCTGTCAATCGTTACTGTGTTATTGTAACAGTTAGGAGTGGTACAGCTTAAACAAAAATATTAAAACTATAAGTTACATAAAGAGAAATACTAAAAATCTGCATGTTTAAACCATACCTCAATCTTACTATTTACCTGTACCAAATTTGAGGTATACTTATATTACGCCAGTTGATTTTTCTAAATATATTTTTTTGATGGGAGTAACACCATTCTAACTTTATGGAGAAAATGTGCAGTATGTCGTATACAGAGGACACGTACTTAATTCAGTCACAGATTATTGAATTTTTAGGTCCCTTTTTATATAAAAAAATATTAATAAACGGCTCAATATTTACCCACTGCCAAGAAAGCATGTTAAGAAGTTACTCTAATGAAGAAACCCAAAATTTTATTACTTATTTGTTTCTTAGGTTTTCACGCACATCACTCATTAAATAAAACTAGTTTTTCACGGGTTAATGCATGAAACTTTATTTTAAAGTCTTTCGAAGGTAGTTCGACAAAATTAAATTGATTCCGACGAAGCAGCCTGTAAAAGCTGCGAAACGTCAACAAATAAATAAAGTTTCGTGCATTAACCCGTGAAGAACTAGTTTTATTTGATAACTTATCAATATATATATACTCATAGATGCTTTGCTTTGAAAATGTATTGCATCTTTGTTGACCTTTTCATTGATTAGATATTTACTTAGTATAGTATTCTCTCTCATGTCTGTGAGGGTTTGTGGCGCTGAATTTGCACTGAATACTGAAACACGGGATTCCCCTAGTTCAGCAGCAGGGGCTACTAAATTATAATACTTTTGTTAAACTACTGCTAAGGTTATTATGGAATCATTTTGTACTGATTGTTTTGGTCAATAGATCGTATTACTTATTATTATTGATTTATATTATTATTTTTTTATTATTGTACAAAGCTTTGAAAATAGGCAATGGGCACACGCACTGCAATTATAACTCGCTCAATATAAATTATATCGTCCTATAAACGAGATTGTTATAATGTGTATAAATAGGATGGTCGAGGACGCATAAGAGATACATCGGATATTTGGTTGGACGAGATGATTGCAAATTTTTCTATTAGTTGCGTACACATTTTTATAGTTTTGTACATCTTGGCTATTGAAGTGAAGTATGGCTTAGCAGGTAAGTACTTACGAAATAAACTTATCTTTCATTTGGAAAATTAATGTATATTTTCTACTTCGTATACAATCCTTCGCTTCGATTCCACTGCGAAAGTGGAACGATTGAGCCGATCGGAATAAAAATTATTTAGCCTGTAACTATCTTTTAGTACCTACTTACTTCCGTATTTACTTCATCACTTTAAGATTGGTGTAACTTAAGAGCTGTTATGATTCTTTTCTATACTAATATTATAAAGCTGCAGAGTTTGTTTGTTTGATTGTTTGTTTGTTTGAACGCGCTAATCTCTGGAACTACTGGTCCGATTTGAATGATTCTTTCAGTGTTGGGTAGTCCATTTATCGAGGAAGGCTATATTTTTTTTCAAAATTAGGGATCCGTAATAGAATTGCTATTTTGTAACACAAGGTGTAAAATCGAAAACCTATTTTTGCGTGCGCTGCAAAAACTATTGACAATAGAACAAAATGTAAGTCCGCGAGAACATATATCTAGCTATCATGGTTTAATCACAATAACCGATTTTGTGTTCAAAATAATTATTAAATCGTCTGAAGAAAAAAAACTACGTTAAATATGTATCGTATTATTAATCTTTATCAAAATTAAGCATTATGTTATCAAGAGTATTTATGTAGAAGTAAAATACTTTTTGTTTCATCTCAATAGGATATTTCGTTTAAAAGTTATCACGTGTGTAAGATGTTAAGAGTTGGTACCTATTAATGAGTTAAGGGCCATCGAGTTTTTTATCAACATAAAATCTTTTAATAATCTTTTTCGAAATATATTTGTTGATGATGGTAAACGCGGGTGAAACCGCGGGGCACGGCTAGTCTTTAATATAAAGGTGATATTTAGATATTTATAACTAAAAACCTTAAAATATAAAATAACTAAAATACACTATTAAAAGGAGTCCCTTTAGGCAAGGTTCCAAAGATACTGACAGCGTTCCCCCTTTGAATAGCTAGACTCATTCTTTGTCCGAGGTAGCTGCCAGCTTTTCGGTCTCCTGTGATGTCGACCAACCTTTTTGCTATTTCCTTAAAAAGTCTTACAGCGCTAGGACCCCACGGACCAAGGGTCTCGACACCGAATGGGACAAAATCATATTAAGGTGATATTAAACATTAAACTTCCTGGTTTAAGGGTGGCATAATTAGCGTTATATGAGAAAGCGTCACCACTTAGACGCACAAGCAGAAATTTCAGAAACTTGTATTGAGTACCAATACCATAACTTCTTGTTTCAATAAAAATGGTTATACAATGGCTTTATAAATATATAATAAAGTACCTGTCAATATTAAGCAACTACCCTACAACAGGTTCAGAATAGTATTGAAAAATTGGCTATTGGATAAACGCTTTTATTCTGTAGAGGAATTTTTAAAAAATAAGTCCTGAATATTGAAATGGATGTCGATTCTGGATTAATTTTATTTTGAATATTACTTTTGAATTGACATTAGGAATCGTAATTAATATTGACATTGAATTGAATAATACTCTAAAATTATCATAATGAAATAATGTGTTATTATAGGTATATATCACAGTAAATTGACATAAAATATTTTATTTTGAACTGACGTTGGGAATTGTAATTAACATTGACATAAACACAATATGGCTAAATAGGTTAAGATTCTTAGCTTTTTACATATGCTTTATATGCAAACACCTTTTGTCAACCCTATTTAATATTCCTATTTCTACCCTATTTCTTCTTTCAAATGTTTAATACTTGTAAAAGTATTCATTTGACATTGTGGGTTACCTATAATGCGAAGAGATGGCGCTGCCTTGCAGCTTAAGAATGGCTAGAAGAATTTTGACGCGGTCTGTGAAGGCCGCGGTAGCATAATTGGTCAGTGCATTCGCCCGGATTGCGAAGGGTGCGGGTTCAAGTCCCGTCTGCTGCCTGGTCCGCGTGGAATTTTTTCTAGTTAAGAGTATTCTTTTCTATTGTATTCTTATATAAGCAATTATATTCGTTAATAAATACCTACACTAATGGCAAATCATTTTGCCACGGACATTTATGAGGGTGGGAACTATCAGGGTAGACAACAGTCCGACATCACACTAAAACATAATTCTTCCTCATCCCATAATTATAGAAGATAATTATGAAGTTGAATGTGGACAGGACACGGCGAATTCCGTCGCGACTACACATATACTCCTGAGGCCAAAGGATGGATCAAATTCCACAGAGTTCCCGCTCCGTGGCTGGAGGCGAGACTCAAGTGCTATTATGAAGGTAATTTTAAGAATGTACCTATCTATATCTATACTTATAATAAATCTGTAGAGAGGTCAATTCCGTACATGAAATATATATTCAAAATAACGATCAGGGTTATTTGGATCAGGGATGCCAAAAATGCAATCAGTAAAATTTTTGTCTGTCTGTCTGTCTGTGTGTATGTTCCTTATAGAAACAAAAACTACTCGACGGATTTTAACGAAACTTGGTACAATTATTCTTCATACTCCCTGGCAGGTTATAGTATACTTTTCATCACGCTACAATCAATAGGAGCAGAGTAGTGAAAGGAAATGTTGGGAAACGGAAATATTCTACATAAAATTGTCTAAAAAATATCCTGCAACAGCATATGTCTATCTTTTATGGTTTACTCACAATAATACGTGTAACTCCTGATAGCTTAGCAGTTCGGAGCATTCTGATTATATTTGTTTACTCTTACGTTTATAATACTCTCACTCATCCCTAATTTAAAAAAGTTAACATTATTACCTATTCAATAAAAAAAGAATTAAATAAATAAATTCAATGTACACTACACGCCTGAGAACAAAATCTATAGTCTACACTACAGCTCTACACCGAAGCGAAGCGAGGGCGGGCCACTAGTACATAATAATTAACTTACTTTTATAATTTACTGTAATTTAATAATATTAACAAGAGTGTTTAAACCTTCTATTTATTGTAACTAGATGTACAGTGATGATTGTAGTTCACGAATAAACCTTTCTGGTTTTTGTTTGCACTAAGTATATGTATTAAAATAATTGTAATAGTACTTGATTAAATAAAAAATACGTGTGGCATTCGGGGACTGCCGCGGTAAAGCTATTATATCAACTTATGCAATTATAATTATTTATTTATTTTATTTATGCAGTCAAATATGTATAAAAAAAGTAAAAAAATAATAATAAAAAAATCGAATGCGTGATTGCGAACGTTGGTACCGTTGCAAAAAATTAACACACTGCGCCGTTTAGATCGATACTGGAATGGCAAAAATTGGAATCACATATGCACTCTTGTCAGCTTATTTTCGTTACGGAATTTCTTGATTCGGTCGCCGCGCTCAAAGCCCGCGATAAAAGCTATACAATAGCTTAATAACTAAAAAAAATCCCTGAAAAGTTTGCACGTAACACCGCTAATTTGCATTCGACAAATTCTAGCATAGACTCGAAGTGTACTATGATATATAGCGTTTATATGGGCTCCTTATATTCCGAACGAAGAACTTGATGAATATGATATGGGAGATGAAAGGATTTATGTGACACCGTAATGTTAAGCTTAGGCAAGGCTTATTACTAATCTTCTATTGCCCAAAGTGGTGCAAATTGTATGGAATTAATTCTTTAGATTTCATTTAGTCCAGTCAATGCACGGTTATACCTATAGGTAGACCGCTTAAATGAATCATCGCTTGCTGGGTAAAGGGTCTGAGGAGGACGAAAACGGGGACCATGAGAGGTGCGAGCGGCAGGTACATTCTTGTCGAAATTACAAGTTCCCGCCGCCCGCACCTCTCACGGTCTCCGTTTTCGTCCTCCCCACACCCTGTACCACGCAGGCGAGGACTCAGTTAAGCAGTTTAACTATAAAAATTCTACTAAACAGTACCAATTAGCACCAAATATGTCTGTACATGTTACTTATCCTCTACTTCAAAGTTATTAATGTGGCGAGGGTTGCTTTTACATTGGTAAAATGGAATGAAATGAAATGAAATGTCATTTATTCAGTCTAGGCTGTTACAAGCACTTGTGAAGGTCAAAAAGCTACGCCATCGGTTCGCAAAACTACGGCGGGAGACCTTGTACTGAGAAGAACCGGCAAGAAACTCAGCAAGGGCTGTTTTTTTCTCCCTGTATTGTTATATACAGTGTCGTCAAGTTGAAAAATTACTTCAGAAATACTTCTGAAGTCACTTTCCATTACATCATCTAGAATATAAATATATAGTTACAATTAATTTTATAGTTAACATTTTAAGTAGTATATAGGAAGCGGCATTAGATAGGTACAATATTACTGTTATGAAAAATGACTAATACCCATTTAATATCAAATTATAAGAAACACTATGTCCATGCATTACGATCATTTAGATAATCATCAACTTTATAATAGCCCTTATTCACAAGAGTATTTTTGATCTGAGATTTAAATTTAGTCAGTGGAAGCTCAATCAGATCTTGGGAAACTTTGTTAAACAATGCAATACTACAACCCAGAAATGAACCTCTTGATTTTTGGAGTCTGAAACATGGAACGGCAAGCTTGTTCTTAAATCTCGTGTTAAAGTTATGGGTTTGACTTTTTTTTGCAAATTCATCATAGTTTTTTCTTACATATATTAAATTTTCATAAATGTATTGCGACGCCAGTGTTAAAATATTAATTTCTTTAAATTTTTCTCTAAGGGATTCTCTTGCCTTTAAATTGTATATGGCGCGAACAGCTCTCTTTTGCAGTATGAAAATACTTTCGATATTAGCGGCTGAGCCCCACAACAAAAGGCCATATGACATAACACTATGAAAGTAACCAAAGTAAACTAATCTTGCCGTTTCCACATCAGTTAAGAGTCTTATCTTTTTAACAGCGAAAGCTGCAGAGCTCAATCTACTTGAAAAGGCATCAATATGAGGATCCCATTGCAGACGAGAGTCTAAAGTAATACCCAGAAACTTTGTAGAATCCACTAACTCTACAGGCTGGTCATTTATTTTTATACTAGTATTAACCTGCCTCACATTAGGTAGAGTAAACTTAACGCATTTTGTTTTACTGGAGTTAAGTTTTAAATTATTTACCGTAAACCAGTGAAGGACTTCAGAGAGAGCACAATTTACTTCGTCATAACAATCATTTCCTCTTCTAGCTTTAAACAATAAAGAGGTGTCATCAGCAAATAGTACTGTCTCACACAAATCTCTTGTAAAGTGAGGAAGGTCATTGATATAAATAAGGAAAAGCAATGGGCCCAATATTGAACCCTGGGGCACGCCCATAGAAATGGGTGCTCCTGTAGACTCAGCTTCATTTATAACTACTTTCTGAATCCTAGCAGAAAGATAAGACTGTATCAGACTTAGTGAAATATTTGATACACCATAATGCTTCATTTTATTTAACAATGTTTCATGGCTAACGCAGTCAAACGCCTTTGATAAGTCGCAAAAAATGCCAATAGCATCGTGCTTACTCTCCCATATATCAAAGATGTGTTTGAGAAGTGCAGTTCCAGCATCAGTAGTACTTTTGCCTCTAGTGAAACCAAACTGTTTTAAATGAAATAGCTTATTTATAGAAAAGTGTGCTAGTAATTGGTTATAAATTATTTTCTCAAATACTTTACTTAGCGCTGGTAATACAGATATAGGCCTAAAATTGCTGGGATCTGATTTGTCACCAGCCTTAAAGAGAGGGATAACTTTAGCACATTTCATTAGATCTGGAAACACTCCCTCATCAATACATTTGTTAAATATAATGGCCAGTTGTGGCGCAATAACAGTGATAATCGGTTTTATTATATATGTTGATATTCCCCAATAATCCTCTGTCTTTTTAATTTTAATTGAGTTAAAAGTTTTTATAATACAGTCACTACTGATATGTCTAAAATGAAAATCATTACTGCACTTATCAACACTTGACTCAAGGAGGGTCATTGCTAACCTAGAACAAGAATTAAGATTTCTAGTTGTTTCAAATGGTGCACTAGAAAAGAAATTTTCAAAAGTGTTTGCAACGGCATCATCTGTCCTAATAATCTTATTGTCTATTTTTAAAGAATATGTGTGTTCATTAAATTTATTTCTTCCAGTTTCATTATTAATTATATTCCAAGTTGTCTTTATTTTATTATCGGAAAGACTAATTTTTTTTTATAAAAACTTAGCTTTTGCTATGGCACACACCTTTTTAAAAGTTTTTGAATAGTTTTTGACATATTCTATAAACTTAGGATCAGATGAGGTTGCCTTGAGAGCATATAATTGATACAACTTATTTCTACTTTTGTAAATACCCGGTGTGGCCCAATCACTAAATTTCTTTTTAAAGCTATGGCATTTAATAACTTTGCGTTTGAATATTATATTAAATTCATCTTTAATTAAATTGAATAAATCTTCATACAAAATATTATTATTACTACAAACTGGTAAGTACGATATTTTGTGATAAACGCTATCTTGAAATTTATTTATACCCGTTTGTGTAATTGGTCTACAAGTTAGGTCATGTTTGGGTGAAGCATGATGGTGTTCAATAGAGGCTAATTGTCCGCTATGATCAGAATTAATACAATAAAACTAGTTTTTACGGGTTAATGCACGAAACTTTATTTATTTATTGACGTTTCGCAGCCTTTTCAGGTCTGCATCGTCAGAATAATGATTTTATTTAAAATTGTCGAGCTACCTTCGAAAGAATTATATTGTGCGTTCGGTTATTTCATTGGAAGATTTTTAAAAATTTATTGTCTATGTATGAATTTATTATTTAATTTACTTAATAAAGTATTTTATTTAAAATTCTTGTTTGTAATTTTGAGTTTATTTATTTGACCCTAACTACCGTAAACTACCACCGGTTCCAAAATTGGGAGACCTTCCTGAGAAGAACCGGCGAAACAAACTCAAGAGAGGCTTTCTATCTCCTTCTTATGTTAAATTATGCAAACAAAAAGAACTAATAGTATCTGATGGTCTTGCAGTGTGTGCTCGGGGTTGGGATTTTATCTCCTGTATAATAGGTTCCCAAGCTGGTGGTATATACCAACCATCTTCCCTATTGAAATTTGGATATTTTTTAATCTCAATAGCCTCGCGCATCATTCGAGGAACGAACCGCCGCTCAGCTGCAAGGATCTGTGGTCTATCAAATCTAATGTAGTGGTTTGGTCCCCCTAATGCATGTTCACACAGTGCAGATTTATAGGGGGATGACTTCTATGTACAAATGGAGGGTGTTGCAATGGGTTCCCCTGTCTCACCTGTTGTCGCCGATATTTTCATGGAAGACTTCGAGAAGAGGGCTCTCGGCGCAGCACCTGTCACACCCAGGCTATATAAGCGGTACGTAGATGATACTTTCACAATCCTCCCAACAGATCAAATTTCTGCCTTTTTAAATCACCTTAACTCTATACACCCCAACATCCTATTCACTATGGAGTTAGAGGCAGATAGTAAACTAGCTTTTCTAGATATTTTATTAATCAGGAATCCTGACCAAAGTTTAAGCCATACTGTGTATCGTAAAGTGACTCATACTGATAGGTACCTCAATGGTGACTCACACCATCACCCGAAACAATTAACTGCCGTAGGAAACTCTTTGTTTCAGAGAGCACGGGGTGTCTGTGACGAACAACACCTGGCAGCTGAACTTCAGCATGTCGAGCAAGTACTGAAGGATAATAACCTGAATATACCACGTCGCCGTCACAGTCGCGCCAAACCTAGCACAGTCGACCGACAACCTGCTATACTACCTTACATGAAAGGAGTCACTGACAAGATTGGGAGGATTCTGAAGCGTGCTTCAATCAATACATACTTCAAGCCGCCTAAGAAGATCAACCAGTTTCTACGACCGGTCAAGTGCAATATACCCTTTCAAGTTGCTGGTGTCTACAAACTTGAATGCGACTGTGGGCTCTCCTACATCGGGCAAACAAAGAGGAGTATAGGGACTCGGGTAAAAGAACATATCGCAGATATGAAACATAGGCGCGAAAATAAATCTGCAGTGTGTGAACATGCATTAGGGGGACCAAACCACTACATTAGATTTGATAGACCACAGATCCTTGCAGCTGAGCGGCGGTTCGTTCCTCGAATGATGCGCGAGGCTATTGAGATTAAAAAATATCCAAATTTCAATAGGGAAGATGGTTGGTATATACCACCAGCTTGGGAACCTATTATACAGGAGATAAAATCCCAACCCGGAGCACACACTGCAAGACCATCAGATACTATTAGTTCTTTTTGTTTGCATAATTTAACATAAGAAGGAGATAGAAAGCCTCTCTTGAGTTTGTTTCGCCGGTTCTTCTCAGGAAGGTCTCCCAATTTTGGAACCGGTGGTAGTTTACGGTAGTTAGGGTCAAATAAATAAACTCAAAATTACAAACAAGAATTTTAAATAAAATACTTTATTAAGTAAATTAAATAATAAATTCATACATAAGTAGACAATAAAATTTTAAAAATCTTCCAATGAAATAACCGAACGCACAATATAATTCTTTCGAAGGTAGCTCGACAATTTTAAATAAAATCATTATTCTGACGATGCAGACCTGAAAAGGCTGCGAAACGTCAACAAATAAATAAAGTTTCGTGCATTAACCCGTAAAAACTAGTTTTATTTAATGAGTGATGTGCGTGAAAACCTAAGAAACAAATATATAGAATTAATACAATTTATTATTGATTTATTAAAAACATTTCTATTACAAAAAATATTATCTAAACAGGTCGCTGATGCATGTGTGATGCGGGTAGGCTCAAAGAAGGTATGCTCCAAGTTATATGATTTAAATAAGTTTAGAAACCTACTCACTAATGGACACTTAACTAAAATGTTTATATTAAAATCACCACACACAAAAACCACTTTATTACATCTACATACTATATTGAAAGCATCTTCCATAGCAGACTCAAATTGAGTGTAATTCCCAGATGGGGGCCGATATACACATATTATGATCATTTCTTCAAATTCCACACAAGATATTTCTATATTACGTTCAACTGAAAGTTTAACAATATCTGTACGTTCTTTGTATTTAAGATTGTTCTGTAAGATTATGAGAGAGCCTCCCCTGATAGCCGATTTCCTACAAAAACTACTAACAACTGTATAATTATCTAAGCCTGTAACTAATTCATAATCTCTGAGCCAGTGCTCTGTAATACATAAAATGTTTATATTCATTGTATTTAAAAATAAGCATAGTTCTAAGTCTTTACCAGAAAAGCCTTGTATATTTTGGTGAACAATATTTAGAAATTTAGACTTTTCCTTGGTCATGATATAGCTAGAGAGCTCCTCTGTTGTCTTACGAACTAATTTAAATTACAATTAATGTCAGTATTTGGAACAAATTCCAAAGTCTGATCCACATAATTATGCTGCTCAATAGAAGCAGTAGTGTTAGCCAAGTTTTTGGCTATGTGTGTAAAATAAAATAATAGCGAAGAAGCTATTTGTATCTTATGGTAATATGAAAGATAATATTTATCTCTTGTCATTTTAAAATTATATATTAATTTATTTATATCAATTAAATGTACTTTTTGACCACTATACTGAGACATGGTACTTAATGTCAAATTTAGCCTGTACCTAATATTATTTTCTTCACTTGATAGACTCTTACTATAAGGAAATGTATACATAACTATTCTATTTACATTTAGAGAACACAAAGAGTTATAGTAAGTCATAATGTCATTTTTGCCAACATTACCTCTATTACCAATTAAAATAATTAAACTTGTGTTTTTGTCAAGTTCAAGAGTTACTATTTTCTTCATTAATTGGTGCATTGTGACACCTGGCAAACAATAACTAATTGTACTTTCACCCAGCTGTTTTTGTAGTAAGCAACCCAGATCTTTACCAAATTCGTCACATAACATTATATATTTATGAAAGTTTCTCTGCTTAAAAGAATTACATCTAATTGTGGTCTCTGAGTGAACAGATTTATTAATCAAGGACTCACATACTGGATCAGTGTCATTTTCTTCATTAATGATCTGATTCGATACCAAAGAGTGACACTTTACAGGTGTGTCTTCGTGAAGGGAGGTGTTAGATAGACACTTTAAGGCCAGAATGTATGGTAAAATGGAAGGAGAGTCCCTTCTTGGGAGTGAAAAATAATTTATTAAAAATAAAAATAGGAATGGTTTTTACTAATAGCCAATACTTTTCAACGTATTCGACGTTTGAACAAACGGCAATTTATGAATAAAAAACATTTGGAGTTAATTTGAAGCTTATAAAAAAATCAAAGAAAATATTGGGTTTAAGAAAAAATATTGGGTTTAAAATAGATAAAAATAAAGTTTGGTTATTTTTGTTTTTAACGCAATTAAAAAAGTTTTATGAGTTTTCCCCGAAAAATTTATTATTTTTTAGATATTTCACGTTAAAACTTTCGATTTTGGCGAAGAAGAACCAACCTTTAACAAGCTATTACTCCGTTAGTATTGGGTCTAGTGATATCTTAAACCCGATATTTCTTTGTTTTTTTATTTCATCATCATCATCATCAACAGCCCATCCCAGTCCACTGCTGGACATAGGCCTCTCCAAATGCACGCCACTCAGATCGATCTTGGGCTACTCGCATCCAGCTCCTGCCAGCCACCTTGCGCAAATTGTCACTCCATCGTGCCTGAGGACGACCTACATTACGTTTGCCTAGACGCGGTCTCCACTCCAGAACTCGTCTACACAACGGTTATCGGTTCTTCGGCAAATATGGTCAGCCCACTGCCATTTCAACTTGCTAATCCGGTGGGCTATGTCGATCACTCTGGTTCTCTGTCGGATTACCTCATTTCTGATGCGATCCTTCAGAGAAACGCCGAGCATAGTTTTTTTCGCTGTTTTTTTATTTGCTACATTTTTACTCTGAATGATTTTTTTCATATTTTGTTCAGATATTTATGAAAAACCATCTGAAAACGTGGGTTTCCTTATTAAAAATTGACGTAACTCTCGAATAAGTCAAAAAGTATTGATTTTCAGTAAAAACTTTAAAGAATAAATGTTACTTAGAATTAATTAGTCCATCCATTCCCATACTTATTTTTAATAAAAAAAAGTCATCCCCGAGGAGAGGCGGGAATGACTTTTTTTATTAAAAGTAAGTATGGGAATGGTCTACCCCGAGGGAAAAAGCAACTCTCGGCACATTAACAAATTTGAACCAGAGAGTAAGTAGAACCCAAATCCTAATTTTGGTGTAAATTGGTGCTGTTTGGCAGAATTGACAGGTTTTCCCGTTTTGTCTGGTCATTGACTGGAGTGCTGGATTATAAAATCTGCGACAGCTAATTATATGTTAACTAGCAAACCAGTGAACCAAATGTTCACCAAAACCTGATTTCTCGAAAACCGGAAGCGCTACGTTACTCAAATCCGGTTTGTAGTCTTATCAGACTATTCTTAACTTATAACTTAAATATTCTCTTTATCTATCTCTTACGGTTTGGCCGCTGAAACAGCACCACAGACAGACAGACGGACGGACTTGTCTAATAGATAAGAGATTAAAAGGTAAATTTTTGTTTACATTCGGCCCGAAATGTTTGAAACGAAATTTATATAATGCAAGTATTTAGCGGTTCTACCACGTGATTTTCAAATGATTGTAGACAATCAGATGATGTTCAGGTGCCGTGCTGATGTCTCCGGTCAACGAGCAACTGTACGCAGTGATGAGGAACTTGATGCTGTCCCGCGCTGACGCCTCCTTTACGGGGGTACAGTCACTCACTTCCACCGGCGACTATATCTCCATCGAAGGTATATGCTTTATTCATCATCAGCTAATTAATGACCTCATAGGTACCAATAGCCTAACGTACCTTCTGAAGCATGGAGGTGCTTGAGTTAGTAAATTTTTGGTCACCCATCCGATAACCGGCAAATGCGAGTTTTCTTTTTCATAATAATAAACCACAGTTAAAGCGCAGCTAATGCTTAGAAAAAGACAGCACAGTAAGGTTTGTGTTATGGGACACTAGGATAAAAATATTTGTTACAGGTATCAACTTGCTCCAGATGCCCATACAATGGGCCAAGGGTGAACCAGACAACCTCAATGATACGGAACGGTGTCTGGCGATCCTTCCCGACGGCTCCATATCGGACACGAAATGCGAACAAGTTCGCACCTACATGTGCTATAAGGAGAAGACCGGTGACGAAACCATTACAGAATGCGGCACCTCGGACAAAGGTAAATAACTCCTTAGAAAAGAACTGATTATCTGATCGTGTTAAAGCATGATAATTGTAATCACTCCACTCCACGAAGCCCGCACGTCAAGAAAAACGGAAAAATACTATTTAATGCGCTTTATCCACTATTAATCTAATTTCTTCAATCTAGCTACAAAACTCATGAAAGTCGACCTTCTAAAAACAAGATCCCCTACCTGGATTCAGCATGAAATAATAATGAATAAGTGTAATTAAAGTTCCAAACTAAGTGTTTTTTTTATTTAACAGAGGGCTTTACTTGTCATAAAATGTAATTTGAAAGGAATCAGCGCTATTCTAGAAGTATATTCAGCTATCTAGAATGACAGGAACACTTGAGAGACTATTTGAATGTGTAGAGTACACATTGGACAATCGCACCGGTAGCTGCTACAAGTTTCACCCCGACTGCGTGACATGGTGGCGCGCGCACATGGCCTGCTCTTCCGAAGGTGGATACCTGGTCATCATCAACAGCGAGTTCGAAGCCAAACTTCTCAACGAGAGGTTAATCACTACTTTTGAATTGTAGAATTAATAAATAAGAAACTGACGGGCTCACTGATGACCAACACACTGGAAAAACCGTTTGGTCTAGCTGGAATTGTTAAATTTCCTATAGTGACTTTAGTGAGTACAAAGAACTGATTTTTGGAACATCATTCATTTTTCATAATGTAAATGTAAAAAATCCTGTTGGTGAGTAAGGTTCTAGAGCTACGGGGTAGGTGATAGGGTTCAGGCCAGCAGGGTCAGGATGGTTAGAGCGGCACATTTTTTTCCGCAATAACCATATTTTTTGAGGGACTCCATCAGTTAGGGTTTAGTAATTGGCTACATTTTATAAAAACAACAATAGCGTAGGAAGCTACTATACCACACCATATTTACAAAAAATCCAGTTCAGCAAACTGATCAACTTTTTCAATTGCATCTACATCATCATCATCATCAACCCATGTTCGTCTACTGCTGGACATAGGTCTCCCCTAATGTACGCCACTGCTTCCGATTTTGTGCTACTCTCATGCAGCCCACTCCAGCCAGCCTACGAATATCATCATTCCATCTTGTCTCAGAGCGTCCTACACTACGTTTACCGAGTCGTAGTCTCCACTCAAGAACTTCCCGGCTCCAACGACCATCAGTTCTGCGGCTAATGTGACCAGCCCACTGCCACTTCAGTTTGCTAATTCGGTGGGCTATGTCGGTGACTTTGGCTCTCTGTCGGATTACATCATTTCTGATGATGTGGAAAGGGCTATGCTCAGAGTATCCCTGAAGGACAGGGATACTCTGAGCATAGCCCTTTCCATAGCTCTCTGAGCAACTTTAAACTGGTGGACTCGTCCAGCCGTGAGTGTCCACGTCTCGGCACCGTATGTCATAACTGGGAGGACGCACTTGAGACATTGAGGGATGGGTGACGAGAGAATAGGATCTCCATAGTGAATCATTTTTCATCTCCTAAACAGCTGTAATTTTAATCTATGTTCATATGTCCTGCAGATACGCTACCAAGAAAATTAAATGCCACGAGTTGCGGTTCATTCACGTTGGATTCTTAAATCCATATTCTGACCGCGCTTACTGGTTCACTGTCGACGGTGAGTAACACACACTATATTGTCACAAAATAAATAGCAAGGTACGAGAACTGGCAATTAGATTTTTCCTTTAAGTTAAGTTAAGGCGATCTTCAAAAGGCAGGTAAACCATTTCCTTCAGACCCGGCATCACTTGGTGCTGCAAGTGTCCATAGGCGTCAGTGTCCACTTACCATTAGGTGGACTGCCGTTTGCCTGCATAAACATAGAAAATGATATTTTTGTCGTAGAAATTTTAGCAAACAAGCATTTGTAACGCAGTTGCAGATTGGGCCAAGCAGAATCATTTGAATCTCAACCGTGCTAAATCTAAGTTTATGGTGATCGGTCCAAAGCACAAGTACCTACATAAAATTCAGTTGATGAATCCTCAAGTATCCATCTCAGGTCAAGTTATTGAGCACTTTGTTGAGGTTCGAAATCTAGGTATCACTTTTGATGGTGAGCTGCGCTTTGAGTCGCATGCGTTGGAGCTGGTAAAAACTTGTATGTTTCGTTTGAGAGTGTTGTATAAGATTCGTAACTTGCTTTGTGAGGGCGTCCGGGTTACTTTATGTGAATCCCTAATACTCTCCAAATTGAATTATGATGACGTAGTTATTGGACCGCGATTGCTTGCAAGAATTCAGCGTATGGTACAACGCGTTCAGAACGCTTGTTACAGATTCTACTTCAATGTCCTTCCTCGTAGTCATATCTCTCCTTATTTAAATTCTGCGTCTACACTTAACATGGAGTCTCGCAGCACCTCGCGTCTCTTGTATTTGACATAATAAAGTTTAAAACTCCGGAGTACTTATTCAATAAACTTAAATTCTCGACATACCAAGAGAATGCCCGAGTTACCCGTAAGCCTCTGGAGAGCACTATTCACAGAACTGCGACTTTTCGTGGCAGCTTCCGCTTCCAGGCTACCAAATGTTGGAACGATTTGCCTCCATCTATGAGAAAACTGGCTTCCAAAGTTACTTTTAAAAAGCAGATAAAAATATACTTCTTAGAAATCCAAAAATTAGACATCCCCAAGTTTTATGTGTGGCAGGGCAGGTAGCCACGTTTACCAGTTTCCGGGTATTACTTCTGTATATGCTTTAAATAATTCATGTGTAATAGTTATTATATGTGTATATATGTATGATATCATCTAAGTATATTTCGCCAACAATCACTTCAGTATTTGACTGTATAATGTAGTTAATATATGCTTGTCTCCACTGCATTGTCAGGGCTGTTTTCTCTTATCTCCTTGCAAAATCTTTTAAATATTTATTAATAAAGCTAATCTACTCACTCAAAAAGGTGATGGCTGAAAATCGGTGTTTTGCCTTAAAACTGGCAAATGTTTAGCCGAGTCTTGGCTTTAGCTTACTGCAGCATACATATGGTTTTTAATAGCTGATTTCTTGTATCTTTTTTTATTGTATTACTCTAAAATGTATGTGTATGTTGAAGAAAAAATAAACGCATTATCTATCTATAGCCCATCTGATGACAGACGGCAAACGTCTCTTAATTCTGGAGTCGAAGACATCGACTTCCAGATCCCATTATGAATCAGTCCCACCAGGAGATAGAAAAGAATTAAATAGAGATAACTTAACAACACTACCTACTCAAAAGCGTTATTCGACAACAATCTTCCGTAGCCGGCGAAGACTGAAAGTTGAAGGATACCGCTGCACTAGAACTTTATTAAAAGTTAGAAAACCCGACTGCTCTGCCAAAAAATAAAACCGACTTCATAAAAACGAAACCGCAACAAGACTCTTTTTACAAAATCGGTCAAGCTGTATAGGCCTCAGAACGTGCCAAAAAGAATCTGCCGCGAATCCGAAACTTATTTCCTAAACTCGTGTCCCTATTGATTTTGACAACATGAGTCGCTAGTCGGGAATAAATTCTGCTTAAAACTGTGTGAGAATGCCTGTCAACTGCCTGCCTGGAGTCCAAACAGGTATTTTGGGATTTACTCGAGCGCGGCAGAATAACATAAGGTTGGCATCCTTGCACCTTGTGAAGTACCATCATACCTGAGCTGAGCCCTTTATATAGGGTCGAATATTTATTTCTCTATATTCTACCTTTTCGCACTATGCAAACCGGCAGATTAATATTTTTCCGTCATCAAAAACATTACGTGAACCCTCCAGTAGCTTAAATATCCCCCCCCCCCCCCCCCCTATGTTATACTGCCGCGCTCGAGTAAATCCAAAAATACCCGCTTGGGCTGCCCTACTAAAGTCTGTCTAATAAATCGTGACCCTCAAAATAAAACGGCAAATTTAAAAATTCTGTAGCTGTAAACACCGCCTTAATAGAGACAAAAAAAACTTGATACTTTAAATTTGAAATTTGAAACAGATTAATGAAACATTTTAACCAACTTTGAAAAACCGGCCTAGTGCGTGTTGTGCCACGCGCAGTGTGGCGCCTGTAGGGTTTCGTAGTTGCCTGTAGTTACCACAATATATTTGAGCAAGAGTCTTTATTTTCTACATCGGGAATTAGAAAAACCAATTAATATCTATTATGTCTCAACTAAAATACATTAATCAAAGTGAAACCGCGTAACAAATTCAAAATCAATGCCATTTTTTTTTAAATACGCCGTATAAATTTTTAATACTGCCGATTTTTTTTTCCTCCCAGGCGGGGGAGCCGAGTGTGAAATCCTCACGGATTCCCTACAGCCGGCTGCAAGGTTATGTCAAACTCTTATTGACTATAACGCACCCATAGTTTATGCTTATGGCCAAAAGGGCCTTACAAGCTTCTTTGAAGATAATGATGCGGTATAATCGGCGATCTTTTCAAATGCTTATATATTTTTTATAAAAACGTAGCGTCAGCGCTACTCAGAAGCCGTTGTTGTTGGTACTCGTGGTAGCGTTGATATATATCGTGATAGTTTTTTTTTTTTAATTTTATGATATGCAAGGTTTTAACCTACAATAACTTCATCTATGTCACTATTAATGTTTTCTTCTAAGGAATTTATAATAGTTAAGAAATTGTCTTTAACCAAAGTTGAACGACTATTACTCTTAAACTAACAAATCTATCTTAACCGTTAGAAGTCCTTAAAAGTTCATAAAAAGCACTATAGCTATCATGAATTTTTTCAGGGTTTTTCAAGCCAATAGTTTAGATTTTAGAGGGGGGCGAACGCCCTACTCGAACAAAAATTAGCACTTTAAAGTTGAATATTTCGCAAACGGATCCCTAAATCGAAAAATAGTTTTAGAAACCCCTAAGTAGTTTTAAAGGATTTATTCAACGATATCCCACACGATAAGGTAGATGATAAAAAAAGGTTACATGTAGGCTACCCTAAAAAAATATTTTTTTAAATTTTATTTTACTATTTTGTCGGCGTGATCGATAATCAGATCTTCACAAAATTACAGCTCTCAAGTGCTAATAGTCTCCAAGCAATACCGGGTACGGACTGACAGAAATGACATGGCTATAAGGTTTCCTTGTCAAGACTACGGAACCCTAAAAAGTGAAAAGTACTAAAAACTGCTCTATTTATTTTCCAGATAACTTTGAGATTTGTAGACGGATTTTTATAATTGATGATGATAATTTGATTTGAATAAAAAATATAAGTACTATTAAAGCAAATTGCCATAAATAGATCCGAGTTGTCTTTTACTACTTGGGTTTGCAGCGACTTGATTTTACTCAAATATAATTTCTATGTAGGTAAAGGATCTGTAACCCTTATATAGGTTTCATATACATGCTCTATTCATACACGTACAGATTCGAGATAACCATTTACCACCATACACAAATAAAAGTTCTGTACTGTACATACTAATCAAAAGGACATAAGAAAGTACATACATTCAATTTCAAATGAAAGCTCAATAAACTTCCTTAAACACGTTCATTTTTGACGGCGGTCAATGCGCAATAATATAGGACTCTTTAAATAGAACAGGATAACGTTTTTAATAGCGAAATCTATTTATTATGTAGGTCAATAAAGGTTGCGACTATAATAGCTCCGGGTGACCTGACCCAAATAAACGAAAGTATCAAAACCCACCCATCCAACAACTCTCCAATTCGTGAGGTCGAAATGACAATTCTTATATTTCCATAATCAAAACTTAAAAAATAGCAAGTGCACGATTCATTACCCAGACTATAATGTCTAAATTACGCTTTGTTCTGGGCCGACTCTTTGTTTCGGCGCGCCGGTTACGTTCTTTGCGGTAGAACTGTGAAGCCTACTCAGAGGTAGGTTTTGGGGTGCTGCTGCTGTTGATATTCTGATTTAAATGATTTTTGTTTCCAGGCAAGCGCCTCGAGGATGCCGGTTACGATCGGTGGGCACAGAACGAGCCCAACAACGTGGCAGGCACCGAGAACTGTGGTTCGCTCCTCAGAAACAACGAGGGCTTCAACGACTGGCCTTGCAACGATTATCTTCCTTTTGTCTGCGAAATACCCATCCATAATCGAAAGAATTAGAGTCTCATTAAGCGTCACTTTTAGATTGTCGATAATAAAAAGGACTTCTACGTTTATTATTATTATTATTCACTTTCAACAGGTGTTGTGGATTGCGGCTCCCTCACCAGGGGCCGTAGATAAGTTGCCATTTTCTAACCCCCGACGCGCTCGCTTTTTTAACGACGGAGGAGCTCGATGGCGCAAGTGGTTAGCGCGTTCGGTTGCGATCGTTGAAATTTAGCAACTTTCGCAGTGGTCGGTCATTGGATGGGTGACCAAAACTTACTATCTCGAGCTCAGCGATGCTTCGGATGGCACGTTAAGCCGTTGGTCCCGGCTGCATATGAAGTCGTTAGCACCCACCAATCCGTACTGGGCCTGCGTGGTGGGTCATGGCCCAATCTCCCTATTCTCCCTATTCTATCCATAGGTTAGGCCAGTGCCCCAGCAGTGGGGACATTAATAGGCTGATGATGAATCCCCGACGCAACGAGGAGTGGTGTGTCTGTGTAGCTCCTAAACGAAACGATTTGGAGTGGGATTTTTTATTTGAAAGTTGACATGATCAAGATAGTTCTTAGCTCTAATTTATGAAGATCTGATCTGCTATCGGGGTTTGAAGATCATCTCCCAATTGAAAAAAGATAAAATTAGTAGGAACTAATTAGTAAGAACTAATTTTACTGTTTCTTTTTAATTTAGAATTCGGAGTAGTTAAACTTTTGTGGTATTTACAAGACCTGGTAACCTTCAGGTTATGGCGCAGCATCAAGGACTGAACTCCTCAGCTACGTACAGCAGTCGTAGCGTGTTTGGGCTCATAAGAATGGTCTCAATTAATAAATGACGATCGAAGCGTTGTTTGTAATGTGTCCTGTGTCGGATTATGTGTCAAGTAGCAAGAATAGCAAATGCTATATGCAGGCCCCTCGTATTTGAGGGCCCCGCGCACTCACTTTATTAACACGCTTTTATTAGTTTCACCTGTATGTTTGTATGTACGAGTATGTATCTGACTCGTTTGGACTCGATTTTGCCCAACTTTAAGCGATCAGATTTACTTCAAACTTGGCAAATATATGTAAAATTAGATGACAATACAATATTATGGTACCACCGAGCTGATGTGATGATGGGACTGGAAGGTGGCTGATGGAACCTTGGACTGCCTACTAGTAAACATATCGAGTTTGGGCTCATTAGATTCGTCTTAACACATTCTGTTCATTTCTTCTGATGGCGAGGACCTGATGATGGAACTGGAAGATGGCTGATGGAACCTTGGACTTGCTACTAGTAAACATATCTAGTTTGGGCTCACTAAATTCGTCTTAACACATTCTGTTCATTTCTTCTGATGGCGAGGACCTGATGATGGAACTGGAAGGTGGCTGATGGACTCTGGACTGCCTACTAGTAAACAAATCGAGTTTGGGCTCATTACATTAAATATAATAAATATTTCCAACACTCACACCAATTTGCCTAGCCCCAAAGTAAGCACTATAAGGCTTGTGTTATGGGATACTAGGGTAACGGATAGAATACATGTACTGTACATATATAAGTATATTTATATAGAAAATACATATTAAACATCCATGACTGGAGTACAAATGCTCATATTCATCACACAAACAGCTGCCCCCACCGGGATTTGAACCCAGGACCTCTCGAGTCGGCGACACCATGAAACCCGGCGTACAAACCACTCGGCCACAGAGGTCGTCAACATTCGTCTTAATATATTCTGTTTATTTCACGTTAAAGGGGTGTAACAAAAAAGTCTTGGAATAGTGAAGCCTTATCGGAAATGGAGAGGATACGTATTCAGTCGCAATAAACTCGTTCTATGTTTTGTAATAATATATATATATACTAGCTGACCCAGCAAACTTCGTACCGCCCTAAAAAAATAGGGGTTGTCCAGCGGACAAAATTGTGAATCTAAACCATTCTCAGATCCCCTTGAACACACTCAAAAAATTTCATCAAAATCGGTCCAGTCGTTTAAGAGAAGTTCAGTGACATACACACTCACAGAAGAATTATATATATATACTAGCGGACCCGACAGACGTTGTCCTGTCTACACGTCTTTGTGAATCTAAACCATTCTCAGATCCCCTTGAACACACACAAAAAATTTCATCAAAATCGGTCCAGTCGTTTAAGAGAAGTTCAGTGACATACACACTCACAGAAGAATTATATATATAAAGATATATATATATATATATATATAATAATATAAAAAGCGTGGAGCGCTTCATTATTAAATTTTAACTGAATTGTTGAACATCACGTAATATATTAATTGATTTGATAAATATTACAATGAAAAGCGCCCCACGCTTTTTCAGTTCTATATATATATATATCCTAAATTCAACTATAAATATGGCTTACTCTAAAGCCCTAATGAAGTAAACAGAGAGTATATTTTGTTTATTTTTGACTTCTTAGTGCAGTAAGTAAAAGCGTGTTTTGAGTTTTTTAAACTATTAATTTATTCCTTTCGCTTCTAGGCCTAGTAAGATAAATATTAGAGTTCCCCGTAAACCACCACGCTATCCTGTACCAACATTCAGCAAACCAATCGCTCGCACAAATATATTAACACACTCTGCATCATATCGCTTGCCCGAAGCTTACAACAAGCTAAGTGAGAGTGTTGATATCTTCCATGACTCTTTTCTACGATTCAGGACTAAAGTTTCAGAGTTATTAAGAGATGCGTAGGCATTCATAGTTGGCATTTATTTTTATTTTTGTCGTTAAATTTGTTATATCGAGTAATTATATATATTCATTTTCTATTATCTATAGTTTCAAAGCCACTAATAGTTCATAAACTTCATTGTTTACATGTGGTTTCGGTTTGTGTTTCTGTTTGTTTATTTAATTAAAATTCATCCGTTCGTACTGTCTCTTAAGCATGATGTGGCTACCTTCAATAGAATTTTGCATTTTGTATGTATCACTATAATGTTTAAAAATAAGATTTAATGTAACTTTCCCTGGTGGTCCTAATAAATAAATAAATAAATAAATAAATAGGCCTCGGAAGGATACACTCGATATCTATAGGATAGGATATAGGATGGAATTATTAAGTACTGCTTATTAGTTCCATGATATTAACAGAAAGAGATCGCGTACACACTTGTACAACCGCCATTGACCGAAACATATCTACGGCAATAGAGCCGAGCTGCGCCTATGATGCCCGAGCATACTCGTAGCTTGGCCGATAGCGGATTTGGTTTATCCAAGCCTAGGTCGCAGTGTTGGCTGAGCAGACAAACATGTTATAATAAAAATAATATGTGTGGCACTCGGGACTGCCGCGGTAAAGTTATTGCATAGCATTATTTATCAACTTATGCAATTATAATTATTTATTTATTTTATTTATGCGGTACTTTTAAGCTATTGCATAGATTTTATCGCGGGCTTTGAGCGCGGCGACCGAATCAAGAAATTCCGTAACGAAAATAACAGACAATAGTGCATATGAACACAATTTTCGTCTTTCTGTTGTCGATCGAAACGGCGCAGTTTGTTTGCCACGGGACCAACGTTCTACGCATCACCGCGGTCATCGGTTCAAATCCTGCACTCTTATTTTCATTATATTTTTTTCCTTTTTTTATATATTTGTTTTAGACCCCAGCACCGGTTCTTATTTTTATTTGTCTCCCTTTTATTTAGACTTTATAATTATAATTTAAATTTTTGGACTAAAGATGGTATTATACACTGTTGTCAGGTTATTTTCGTTACGGAATTTCTTGATTCGGTCGCCGCGCTCAAAGCCCGCGATAAAATCTATGCAATAACTTAATAAAATAAACTACATTATAATACCGTTTCAGGCCTACGCATCCAGGATTCTGGTAACTATCGTTGGTCGAGCGGCGAGCCCTATATTTTGTCAGAAAAGTGCGGAGCTTTCCGAAGAGACAACTCGGCCTTTTCGACATGTGTGAAGAACGAGTGCCCTTCTTATGGGAAATCTCAGATCGCAAAAATGTGTTCAGTACCTACCCTTAGCACGAACCAATATCGAAATCGAATAGTTTGCGAGTCCGAAATGTCATTGTCAAATGTGTACTGATTTTGAGTTCTCGTTACGTACTTTGTGGCGCTGCTGTTCAAGTTTCCATACAAAATTTGACATTGACTTTCGCACTCGCAAACAATTCGAATTCGATAATGGTTCGTGCTAAGGGTACAGGAGAATGGATAATTGATACCAAATCGACGACCACCGTGGCCGAGTGGTTTGTACGCCGGCTTCCATGGTATCACCAACTCGCAAGGTCCCGGGTTCGAATCCTGGTGGGGGCAGATGTTTGTGTGATGAATACGAGCATTTGTACTTCAGTCATGGATGTTTAATATGTATTTTTAAATAAATATATAATATATGTACAGTATATGTATTCTATCCGTTACCCTAGTATCCCATAACACTAGCCTTACAGTGCTTACTTTGGGGCTAGGCTAATTGGTGTGTGTTGAAAAAAATAATAATTTAAACTTAAAATCTTTGTTTAATTCTTTTTCATATTTTGCAAGTTTTGTTTTTGATATTAGTTTCTCGTCATGTGACCATACCCATTGGTAATAAAGTAATTAAAAAACCTTACCAAATGTCTCGGTTATGGCAACCTATGTTATTGTTTGAACTAGTAAAACCTATTGTGTGTTTATAAATAAGAAGAAATGTGACAAATAAAAACGCTGGTTAGGGGCCATCCATAAATTACGTCACACGTCAAGGGGGAGGGAGGGGGTCGATGAAGTGTGACTTCGTGTGACAAGGGGCTGGGAGGGGTCCTAAATTTCGTGACGACACATTTAAAAACCTATTATAATCGAAATGTTAAAACTATAACTTTACGAAAACATAAACAACCCAAACGAGAACAAAGTGGTGCTATGCCTGTTATAAATAATTTAAAGAAGCGGGCTCAATGTCTATGGACTCAAGATTATTAAGTTTGTATTTTTAATGTAATCATAATGCTATTCATATTTGTTTTGTTAAATTGTTGGATTTGATGTTAATATTATTAAAAATCAAATTTGAATGAAAATAAAACTAATTTCAGATCCGCTGTTTACATTCAATAATTTCTAAATTTTGTAAAATATGTGACGTCACACTAGGGAGGGGGGGAGTCTCATAAATGTGACCAGCTGTGACAAGGACGGGGGGAGGGGCAAAAAATCATGAAATTCGTGTGACGTAGTTTATGGATGACCCCTTATCGAAAACATCATTTACTCTTTGGACTATATCTATCTCAAACTAAATACGGTCGCGGTCAGAAAATGTTTACCACCTTAAGGATCATAATTGCATGCACACAGCATGCAATTATGATCCTTAGGTCACAAGTTCTAAATGTCTATTTCATAATAATTTGATTGACCATAGATTATCTTTTTTGTAATGATATGACAATTAATCGCACTAGGCGATGGACTGACAACTATCAAGGTTTGATAATATATATTTTTTAAATACTTCGCCTCACATGCGCCGATGTAATTACAAACATATAATCTCACATGCACATTGCACCTACGCCCAGACCAGGACAAATTTCTGTAGGCCATACAAAATATCTGTGCCGTACGGGAATCGAACCCGCGACCCGTTGCGCAGTAGGCGACGACCTCTACACTAGCCGTGACGTCAAACAAATATAGAAAACCATTGAAAAAACTAATATCTTAGTTTTTTAACTAACAATATGAAGAAATAGTAAAATAGAAACTTCAAAAATCTTTATTTAATATCTAGTATAACCTCCCTCTGCAGATATGACGACATGTAGTCTATCTCGCATTGATGCAATAAGATGCGCGCATAGATCGGTCCCTCTAATATCATCCCATACTCGAGCACAGTGTGATCTAAGATCATGAGGGTTCCTTTCATTTTGACAGTCCCAGCATTGAACCATAAGCCCCCATAAATTTTGAATAGGGTTTAAATCAGCAGACCGAGCGGGCCATTGAATGGGACGAATGTCACGGTGCAGGTTGAACCACAGACCACACCATAGCAGCACGGGCCGTGTGTATCCGTGCATTATCTTGAACATAAGTTATGGGCGGGAAACCTGTTGCAAGATACACTACGCGCACAGTAGTCAGCATCACTTCTGCCAAAAGTAGGGCTGCCATCCGTCCGGGTTTCCTCGGATTTGTCCTAGTTTACGGGGCGTCCGGGGAGCGTCCGGGCGGGGTTTTATTTGTAGTCCGGGTTTAAAAATTTACGGCAACGCATGAGTGGCCCTTGGTGCTGCAAGTGTCCATGGGCAGCAGTGACCACTTATTATGAGGTAGACCGCTAGCTCTTTTGCCTAGATCAACATAAAAAAGTTGAATTGTGACATTTTTATAACTGTTTTTTTATTAGTCTGTCCGGGTTCTGGGCTTCAAAATCCGGGGTTATTACGCGTCTTATCCTGGTTGCCACATTTTAGAGATGGCAGCCCTAGCCAAAAGCGACACATAATTAATGGCAGTAGCCCTATTCTCTAACGACGCAGTTCTCCGACACCGTCGAGGCTCATCCACCCCCATAAGTTTACTGTTATGCGACCTGACTCGTTTTGAGGCACGATATGAGCTTCATCATACCGAGTTAAATTATAGCGCCATAAAGTTAATCTTCCGATTTGGCTTGATTTAAAGGTTTTCTAATCGGTAAATATAGTATTCGACCAAGCAAAATCATAATGTTGTCGCGCAAAGTTAGGCCAGGCTGTTTTGTGGTGAGGTTTCAGCTCCGTTTTAATAGCATGGTGTCTGTAGTGTAGTCCAGCACTGTACAAAGCTCGTCGGATCGTCCGAGCACTCACATCATATAAAGCAGCAAAATAGCTAGTTGGTGTGAAACCGTTCTCTTCATAACGATGAATCATTTCTGTTATTTGCGCGGCGATTAGAATTGGTCGTCGTCGTCCTGAATTATTTCTATGATCTGTTAAGTGCCCTTCTTCACCGTGACGCCGCGCCGGATCCAAAACCTCCCAGTGAATCGCGATATATTGAGTTCTCGTGATATATCACTAATACTTGTCCATCTTCGATGAGAAATATTATTTCAGCCCTATGCTCCAGGGTCAAACTTGTCATTTTATTTCGGTGTAAATATATTTTTCGAAAATTTTGCTCTTGTCCAAACAATGTTCAAACAATCTTTTTTTATAAATATCATTTCAACAAATGAGTTTCAATATCAAAAAGTAATATATATTTTTTTTTGTTATTCTCGATGCGTCATATTGCATAATAACTTTTGAAAGGTGATAAGTTACTTGATATGGCATTTTAGACTTTAGTGAAAAAAGTGTGACATAAAACTGGTAAACATTTTCTGACCGCCACCGTACATGAACTGGTTTCAAATAATACTCAAGGTCGTTATAATCAGAAACACAAGCGAGTCTCTTTGAAGCAAGTTGCAGACGCTGTGGATAAGTTTAAAAGTGGCGGAGACAGGGTTACCAGATAATAAAACCATAAGTCCGGTGAAAAATTCTGATTTCCTTTAAAAAAACCTGAGATTTTAAGGCAATTTGAAAATTTTCTCTTTATCATAATTTACTTGCAATAGATGGCAGGCATCAGACATGATGTGTGGTCCACTTAAAGTTAGTATTTTTTTTTCGATTTGGTACACCGCAATCTCGAATATCACATTTACGCTTAGCAATTTGCTTGGTACGTGTGGCAGTGGTGGGTTGTTCCGCATTCATCCTACGTCTCATCCCATTTCCTTACTCATCCCAAACTAGTTACATTATTTTAATGTTTTTTCTTAATTGAAACCAAATGAATATTTACTTATCCCAAGGCAAATATTACCAAAAAATGTAGATCATCCAAACGACCATTCCAAGCAAAGCTCCCCACTGTATGAAAATATTATAAAAATCTATATTTTATTGAAGATTCCAAAATCAGGAGATTTCTAAAATCCGGCCACAATCTTGATAAAAATCCAAAAAGCCTTAGATCTCCTGATATGGTAACCCTAGGCGGAGAGGATTTTAGAATTATTGTTGATGAGTAAGGTAAATTAGTGACCAATCAGTTTCCTGTTTACAACCGCTGTGTGTGATCGTAACAAATGCAATTAAATATAGAAACAAGATAAGAAATTACAATTAACATATAAAAGTTTATCTGCAGTTCCAGTAGCAGTTTAGGTAAATTAAATCTAGCAGTTAAATGCTTAAAAAAATAATGGGTGCGTGTACTTATGTAGGCGCGCGAGAAGTTATCCTTCTTTGGCATCGTTTAAAATTAGTTTTTAATTGCATGCAAATAATTAATTACAATAAATTAATAAAAAGTCTGGAAAAGGACGAAGTCAATAAAGTTCAGTTTTAATTTGAAAAAATAAATAAATAATCAAAATATTCAATTAAAATCGCTACTGAATATAATTTATTAGAATATAATTATGTGATTTGCACTTGTATGAAACTCAAACACGTATTCCGAATATACAAACTAGAAACATGTGGATAAATATTATAAATATGAATACCTATAACTGTTACTTTATTACAAAAAATAAACATGTGGTTTTTGGTTCTACTACACCAATGGTCAAGAGATGGCGCTGTAGTCTCCTGAATCGCGCTTTGGTTCCGTTGTTCCAGATTAATAAATACTTTTGATAGGCCTTCACAATGCAGTCGTTAGCACCCACTAAATAGAGATTCTATTTCTATTTTGTTGGTAGATTTTCTTAATGTGCGGTAAACACAAAAGTAACGGATGAAGTCGGTCGCGCATCTTAAAATTTCACTCTCATAATTTTTTCATAACGCGCCTAAAGAAGTATAACTTCAAAATAATATAAAAAAACTTTAAAGTTTGTATAACCATAAAGATTTTCCCAGGTTTTTTAAAGCAAATGATAAATTGCTGTTTTGTGCGGCAAATTCAAAACTCGGAACCTGTACAAACATATGGGCAACTGGGAACTACAGCTACGTAAAGCAAATTGACACAAAATGGGACACCTGTCCATTGGAAATGTTCTCCTCATAATCAACGTGTGGATCGCCGCCACCCAAAATAAAATTTTAGGTGAGTAACTACTTATTTTCATAAAAAACACAAACAATATCAACAATGGAAACGCAAAAACGCTTAAACGCCACTTCAGTAACTTTACAGAAACGAGGATTAGTTTTTTTTTTGGCAAAAAAAGAAACAAGGCAATCAGAAGAAGCGCCATAAAAATAAAATCATATTCATAAAATTATATTTTCTAAATATCCTCCCATTAAAAATCTACATCCTAGTGCCTTTACCCTACGAATTAGATGACGAAAATCACTCGTCCCGCCATATACTTTTTGCTATAAGCAAACATCATATCATTAGGGTTGCAACGATATATCGGAATATCGATAATATCGAGACCAAAATATCGATATTTATATCGATATTTGAAATTCACTGATATCGATAATATCGATATCGGAAATTCCAAAATATCGATATTTCGTGGACTAAATTTAAACACAATAATATCAATTGATTTACCTGCTATGACTATCTAAATTGAATAATATCGAAATAACTATTGCTTTGAAATCGCAAGAGCTTATAGATGTATTAAAAAATCTAGAACCCCAAGAAATATACTAAACTACAACAGTGTATCCTTGTCATTCTCTATACAGAATGAAAAGGAGAGACTGATGTTAAATTTAGTTTTAAGTTTAGATAATCATGCCAGAATCGACACCAACGTATATAGGTATAATCGTATACCTAATGGTAACTCATGCATTTAAATAAAATACTTGCCTCTCTTTCTAGATAATTGTCAACTACTGATTGATTAAAATTTAATATCATTGTAATATAACACAAAATAAAATTAAGAATCTTATCTTATACAAATCGTAATTTTTTTAAGCTCGCCAAGTCAAGAAAGTAAGATAGGTATAGTAATTTTGGAAGCTTTGGGCTTACCCTATTCTGAAGCCATGGGCACGCCCCTGATGTGTAGGTTTTACTAATACATAACAATTGTTTTTCATATGATTATCTATTCTGATTTTGGCTGCGTGCAAACATTTTAAACAAAAAAAATATCTTTGATTCGAAATTGCTTTTAATTTGATACTTCTTACAGCGCTATAAAAATATAGAAAATGTTGGAATGGCTGATATATCGGATCGGATATCGATATTTACCTGCCCACATTATAAATATCGATATTTCGGAAACCTTTGCTCCCTTAATTATAGGTTTTTGCTTTGCAAACTTCATACAAAGCAAAAAAAAGAAAAAATATCGATATATCGATAATATCGAGTTAAAATGGTCGATATATCGGATATCGATATTTTCCTGACTTCGATATAAATATCGATATAAATATCGATATTTCAAAAGACTTTGCATCCCTACATATCATATGCCAAATGGTAGGGCGTAAGCGCCATTAGTTCAAAAACACCAAAATTTATGTCGCTTCAGCGTTGTGAACAAAAAAAAGTTACTAAAAATGGTTACCTGTAAAGTCGGTTTTACGGGCGAAGATTTTACGTGACAACGTCTTTTTCTCGGTAGAATATTTATTGATATGAATATAATTAAATTGCACAATAGGAACAAGGAATTGAATGAAAATAAGAATTGCACAAATTTTAACTATAGAAATATATTTTGTTTACTAAAACATTGTACATGTAAACTTAAACTTAACACGAGAGACTCATCGTAACGTTACCGAGCGTTACACTTTTTCATAAGTGACTCCCAGCCGCAACCTAATTTAAGACGTTGTCACGTCAAAACTTGAGTTGCTTAAGCGCCAAAAAGTACTCAAATCTTTACGATATATAAACAGAACGATGTAGAAAAAAAATCTGATTCAAATCTATACATCTAATAAAATGGTAGGATGGGTAGGAAAGTCAAAACTGTACATTGATTATTTTTTTAAAAGAATACTTGGGGTGTGATCTACAATCGATACCAAAAACATAAATATAGTTTTTAGAATTTTTGTCTGTTTGTCTGTATGTATGTCCGGGATAAACTCAAAAAATACTGCATGTATTTACTTCAAATTTGGCACGAATATTATTAAGAAGTCGGGTCAACATAATATAGGCCACATATTATTATTATCACGGTATCACCTAAGGGGAACGAGCAGTGAACCTTTATTTCTTTAAAGCATTCTGCAACAACGTGTAATCTAACGACGCATATTTGAATGTTGTTATTATGTTAACCATGCTATAAGCTAGCTTCACACTCTAAGTAACTTAGGCCGATAACCATAATAGACGCAAGACCCACCAGATCTGTTAGAAGTCTTACTAAATGGCGAGCATCCGAAGTCCAGGCATTTTTTGAATAACATCCAAGCTTATAATAGCGCCTTCCAGATGACTTCGTTTGGTGCAAATCAAATCGTTGAAGCAGGGTTCATGCCGACATTCAAGGTTCATGGGCAAGTTTACCATCAAATCGGTTCGCTGCTACCTACAGACATACCTAAATTTTTTCAAATTTATTTTGTAAGCGATTTTGAAGAACAAGCAACCTGCGGAGTAGACACATCTCCAATTTGGACCCTGGTCTGGTCAGAGGATTGTAAAGTATCTGGCAAAACGTTAATCCGCACATTGGCAGCTTCAAAGCCCTGGCGTCGGTGCCTGTGAACGAACGCAACCGCTTTAAGTTTGTCATCAGCGCAAATAGAAGGCCGATTGCAGCCCATCCTTGGCGATATAATGCGCCAACGACGAATGAGGCAGCCGTTCTCTTAGTTGATCAGGAGTGTGATAAAAGAGACATCGTTTTGCGCACGCATGATGGCCGGCTTCAAAGGATCAGCGAGACTCACCGCGCATATGATTCTCAGTCGCGGAGAGGATGGCTACCATTTCGCCCACTATAATGTAGACCCCCAGACAGGCTACCCAAATTATAACAAAAAAACATCTGCCATGCAGTTCTACAGCTTCTTGATCCGTCCGTACGCTCTTTAGTCAGTTTCTGGTGGACATGTACGCCAAAATTGAGACAGAACGTTTGGTATTTATAAGGTCCAACCAAAGAAAGCTGAGAGCTGAGAACTACGTCCATCTCAGAGATGCCATGCAGAATGATGCAAATGTTCAAGATGTAGGAAGGATTGTCATTCTCCCCTCCACCTTCACAGGTGGTCCGCGGTACATGCACGAGAGGACCCAAGATGCATTTTGTTACGTGCGAAAGTTTGGTCGCCCGGACCTCTTCATTACCATCACTATCAACCCAAAGTGACCTGAAATAACAGCTCAACTCCTTGCAGGACAGGCACGATTTGATCTCTTTCGTATTCCATCTCAAGTTGAAGTGCATTATGGATCTTCTAACAAAGGCAAAAGTACTACCTATATTATATAACTGTATCTCAGCAATTTAAACAATTTTCATGAAGGTAATTTGTAGCACCACGTACAGTATTTCTAGAGTAACTACAAATAAAGAAAATCCAATCAGTTTCTGGGTCCTCAGTTCTTACGTGCTTCAAATTTACCTTATTGATATGATACTTTGTAGGTAAAGCTGTTTCTTTAGCAAGCTTTGATTGTTGCTCACTTATGCAGTGCTATTAATATATTATAATATAATGCAGTGTTAATTTGATTAGTCCACAGTGAATTCCGTCCGGACTACACATACTACCCAGAAGCTGGAGGCTGGTTCAAAGTTCACAAGGTGCCCACCAACTGGAATGAAGCAAAGCTCAAATGCTATTTCGAAGGTAATTATGATAACCTTAATATGTGTGCCTTAACATTTTTGATAGCATAAAATTGTTTGATCCTAATTTTATGCAACCAAAAATTTGTTAATCGAAATACATTCCGACGAAGACGCCGCGATACGACGAAGACGCCGCGAACTGTACTGAAGAACATTTAGATTTGTATCAAAACTTTATTGAACAGAAGCAGCAAATAGTTAAGTTGTTGCCATAAATTTAATATATATATATATATATATATATATATGTATATAAATAAGAGTATTCTCAAATTTTGTACAAAACATTCTACACCCTGTGCGGCTTACTAAATTACATGCTTTTTAAATCTTTTTAAAGGTGCAAATCTGGCATCCCCTGTTAACGACCAAGTGTATGCCGTGATGAGGAGTCTGATGTTGGTGCAGACAGGGCCGGTGTTCACTGGCGTGCATGTGCTGGACCCGGCTGAAGAATTCAAATCAATAGAAGGTGATATTCTTTATGCTTGCGAGATACATTTGAAAATATCTTGTGATATTTCAAGATGAATTTGTGTGATTTTTCATAGAAGAAACAAAAATAAAAACCGTCTTTATACAAACAAAACCAAGATCAACTTAGGATGTTCCCAAAAATTGATTAAAAATATGATAATTAAATGATATTAAATTGATACGATATTGATCTCCTGACGATTTCGCCATTTGCACTGGTTTTATTACAATAAATAAATATGCGAAACATGATAATTTATTGTTACGGTTGCTTGAAAAGTATGTAAAGCTGACGCCTATGTCTCAGTGCTCCAGCCTAAGCAAAAAAAGGAGAACAACGCTAATTCTAATTTTACATTAATACTAGCTGACCCAGCGAACTTCGTACCGCCCTAAAAAAATAGGGGTTGTCCAGCGGACAAAATTGTGAATCGAAACCATTCTCAGATCCCCTTGAACACACACAAAAAATTTCATCAAAATCGGTCCAGTCGTTTAAGAGAAGTTCAGTGACATACACACTCACAGAAGAATTATATATATAAAGATGATTTGGCATGATAGGGTATATGGTAGTGCTGGTTGTGAGTGAATGTGGGTGTGAATTTGTGAGTGTGGTGTTTGTGTGCGTGTGTGTATGTGTGTGTGCGTGGAGGGAACGTGTGTGACTTTGCTAGTAATTTTTCCATATATATGTGAGGTAGTTTTAGTAGAACCCATAGAAGATAGACGAGGTTATTACATTACAGAATTCATTAGGCTTGCTGTTTCTAAATAGTAGTACGATGATGACTCGTACAATCAATAAAGAGAATCTGTAAAACGATATGCATGGCATCATGGCACCGACTCAAAGTATTTCATTGAAGTGAAAACTTCTTTAGCGGCGTTGTACACTTTTTTTGTATGGGTAAAAAATGTTAAACTCGCGTCAGGTTAAACACGTGGGCTGATCGCATCATGACACACAATAAAATTGGAATGGTTGTTGACTTTCGATATATTGGACGAAACATAGTAATATTATATTTTATCGTATTATAATAATAAGTCTCTATCTAGGACGTCCACGTGGCAGCTTTATTGCAAAGAAAATGCATTTTTTTACAATAGATGTCGCAAGGTGCACTTAAATGAGATTCATGTAAGTTGATTTCTTTACAATAGATGTCGCTAAGTGTGCTTAAACGTGATTCATGTAAGTTGATTTTTTTGAGATATAAACTTTTTTAATGTAATATAAATTGTCATGTTTGTGTACGATAGCGCAATAAATAAATATTGTATTCTACCACATACATGATAGTACTTTTATACTGATAATAATTAAAGCAATTCGTGCAAAATTATTCCCTAACCATTTCAAAATATCAAAAATGCACAACGTTAATATTCAAGTTTTCACTTCTGCCGGCACTCCCGGAGTGCAACCCGTCGTTTTTTTTTTGTAGATTTGTTTTTATGAAGTCTTTTTTATTTTTATTAATAAACTTTTAATGTAATTGTTTTTATAAGCCAGTGAAATATCAACTCACTTATTAACGTTTGAAAGACAAACATTCTTAAAATTGAATTTTTCTGCTGTACACGTGTAATATGTATGAAAATGTTGTTTTAACTATAAAGCTAATCAGCCTTTTACGATTAAATAATATTATAATACGTGTACCGACTAAAAGCTACAAAAAAAAATGTGTGCGTGTACTAGTGTACACACGTAAGAAGTGAAACTTCTTTATGGCCTTATTTTTCGAAAAATGATCTACATGCAACTTTCCAGAAATTGGTTAAATAAAGTTAAATTAGATAAAGTTTAAACAAAAGGATTTTATTATCATAGACATGAATACAAATTACTGCCTATGAAACTGTTATGATTACACGGCTCAGTAATCTAAGGCACATGTTCCACCTCCGACGATGAACGATAAGCGAGTAGAAACTAGAAACGAATTGGCAGTCCTGAGTTAAAATGCACGCGCACGGCTTTTGACAGCCAAGCCAGCTTAACCGAGCGAGTATAGCTGAGCGAGTATCGCTGAGCGAGTATCGCTGAGCTAATATCGCTGAGCGAGTATCGCCGAGCGAGTATCGCCGAGCGAGTATCGCCGAGCGAGTATCGCCGAGCGAGTATCGCCGAGCGAGTATCGCCGAGCGAGTATCGCTGAGCGAGTATCGCTGAGCGAGTACCGCTGAGCGAGTATCGCTATGCGAGTTTGGCTGAGCGAATCTTATCTTTAATAACTATTGTCACTCAGCTACAAACGAGTAGAGAGAGTTCTCGCCGGCGACAGTGTGATCATTCAGCTATCAACTATTAATATAAAAAAAGATGGCGCGTAACGGAAAAATGTGACGCGTAACCGAAAAATGTGACGGTAAATTTTTTTCCAACGCCGATAAAGAAGTTTCAAAAACTCAAGTTTTTGTAAAATTCTTCTTTTGCTCCGGACAGCGAAAATTGAAACTCTGAAGATTCACCCCCGACCTTGACTAGCACAGCACTTGTTACCCATAATAGTAGAGTATCGCGGACTTTCGTATCCTGGAGTTGCTTTCTTGCTCAATGCTGTTTCCTTGATAGACCCAACAGACTCATGCGACCTCCTCACTTGCGTCCTCAATCGTTATCTATACATATAATAAAATGGTAGTAAAGTCAAAACTGTACATTGATTATTTTTTTAATAGAATACTTGGGGTGTACTATCTACAATCGATACCGAAGCCAAAAATATAAAATTTAGAACTTTTGTCTGTTTGTCTGTATGTATGTCCGGGATAAACTCAAAAAGTACTGCATGGATTTACTTCTGGCACGAATATTATTAAGAAGTCCGGTCAACATATAGGCTACATATTATCATGCTATCATGTACGGGGAACGAGCAGTGAACCTTTATTTCTTCAACGCATTCTGTAACAACGTGTAATCTAACGACGCATATTTAAATGTTGTTATTATGTTAACCATGATATAAGCTAGCTTCACACTATAAGTTAAAGTTAAAGCAGCGCCATCTATGAGATTTCAAAAACATCAAGTCGAATTACATGTGTAAGCACTTTTTGGATATAAATAATTTTGGGGTCAAAAACCAAGTCAAGGTACGAAGGGCGGCCGCTAGTGTGAAAAATATGACTTTGTCAGTGTCAGTCAGTTTTGGTATTGAGCGGGAGAACGAGAAGGCGAGAAACTAATCACATTCACGCTTCTCGGGTGTTCTCAGGGTTTCTGACTTCGACTGTTTATTATAATCAAATTCAATTTCATTCAATATATCTTTATTCAAACAGGGAGCATAGTACAACTCTTTAGAATCGTCCATATTTCTTCCCTACCATCTGTTAAGGACATTTATTTTGCTGTGGAGAAAAACGGGCGAATAATCTTCACAGCTTCAAATCATGTAACAATAATTACAAAATATTATATTGTTACAGTGTTAATTACATTTTTATCATAATTATAGAAATACCCTCTAAAATATAATCAGGCACCCTTTAATACGCTTTATTCATAAGAACTTTTTTAATAGTAGCTTTAAATTTATTGACGCTCAATTGTTGGATATTGCTAGGGACTTTGTTGTAGAAGCGTACACAAAGACCTTTAAATGAATTACTAATTTTGTGGAGCCTAGCAAATGGTACAGCTAATTTGTTTCTAGTATTAAGCGTAGAGACATTTGCTGGGTGACAAGAACGTACATGTATTGTCATACATGAACATCCGTCTGTAAATCTATACTACATACCTCGCAGGAGTACCGCTGCAGCAGTTGCGTATCCAGTGGGCGAAAGGGGAGCCCAACAACTTGAACAATGAGGAGCACAGCCTGGCCATTCTCCCGGACGGCACTTTCGCTGACGTAAGAAGTGACAAAGTGCTCCCCTACATATGCTACCGGAAGGAAACTGGCAATGAGATCCGATCCAAGGACTGTGGAACATTTGCAGAAGGTACGTTTATAACGAAATCTTTTATTTAATTATGTTTAAGAAGCTGTATTCAATGCTAGCAGCGCTTTTATTTAAAGCGGTGTTCATTCATCGAGCAGCCTTGAATTCTTAGGTCTGGATGTTGAACCTCAAGGTGGAAATCATAAGCGTTATAAAATCGCTGAAGTATGGATTTTACCGAGAATTTAGAAAGGCTCATGGGAACGGTCGAACGTAGGTAAGTACAGAAACTATTAAGTAATCTAACTATTAAGAATTGAGCGGTGAAAACTATGAACTGTATGCACTACAGTTCATAGTTTTCACCGCTCAATTCTTATTTATAACTAGCAAACCCGGCGAACTCCGTTTCGCCACCAGATGGCTTCGTTTTATGTAACATTTCGTTTGGTGATTAAAAGAAGTTTTTTTTTTTAATTTTTCCTGAATTTTCTTTGCTATAAACCTCACGGAGCCCGAGACCTTTCCAACGAATGCAAAACCGTGGAAATCGGTTCGTGCGTTCTGGAGTTATAGCGTCAGGAAGGAAAACCCGACTTATTTTTATATAGTAGATTTATTATTTGATTGCGATGTTACTAGTTGAGAATGTAAATTAAACGGCTTTGGTTGACTTTATTGTAGGATATTTCGTAATTTATTTACAGCTTTAAATAAACAGCCTGGTGACAAACAGACAGACGGACATTAGTAGTCTTCTTCTTCGGAACCCAAAAAAAAGAGGAGTTTATATGAAACTTCTCTTTTTTTTAATATATGATTAAAAGCGCCTAGTGAAATTAAAGTAATGAAATTATACACCAAGTAGGTACAAATCGTATGATAATACCGCAAGGCACACTCATTAAAAAAAAAACAAGATCACAATTTTTTAATAGGGTAATTTTTGAAGTAATACTTCTTTAGGCGCGTTATGAAAAAATTATGAGAGTGAAATTTTAAGATGCGCGCGCATCACTGTAACACAAAATTTTAACAGCATGAAGTTGGTCGCTTTAACGACTGCATTGTGAAAGCCTATCAAAAGTATTTATTAATCTGGAACAACGGAACCAAAGCGCGATTCAGGAGACTACAGCGCCATCTCTTGACCATTGGTGTAGTAGAACCAAAAACCACATCTTTATTTTTTGTAATAAAGTAACAGTTATAGGCATTCATATTTATAATATTTATCCACATGTTTCTAGTTTGTATATTCGGAATACGTGTTTGAGTTTGATACAAGTGCAAATCACATATGTTCTAATAAATTATATTCAGTAACGATTTTAATTGAATATTTTGATTATTTATTTATTTTTTCAAATTAAAACTGAACTTTATTGACTGTGTCCTTTTCCAGACTTTTTATTAATTTATTGTAATTAATTGTTTGCATGCAATTAAAAACTAATTTTAAACGATGCCAAAGAAGGATAACTTCTCACGCGCTTACATAAGTACACGCACCCATTTTTTTTTTAATTTCATTAACTGTTGCAAAAATCCGAGGTATAAACCCCCAGCCGCTCCACTTTTTCTTAACAGCACTAAAAATGCAGATATCAATCAATCAATTCTTTCAGATCCTGACACACCACTTTCGCTTCTTCGGTTTTATATATTTTGCTTGTGTCTTACGGGAACATTTTTATGAGAGGTGGGACATAGCGGAAATACTGCTCGAATTGAAACGTCCGCGCCCGTTTGGGGAAGTAACCTTCACCTTGTAGAGTATCACAGTAAAATTTGGTTATATATTAGGTTTCAGGGCTCCACGGGGCACGGGAATGGGTGGGGGTAGGCAACGGTGCGAGTGATATTTTTGGTATCACAAGCGTCTATAGGCTTTGGTGCAGGGCTTGAAACCGGTTTCGAAAATACCGGTAAATAAAGGTTAATACCGGTTTTTAGTAAAGGTTTCGTTCGGAGCGCGTCCGAAATGAAAGCGGTACCTAAAATCTTAATAAACCGGTTTAATTCAGAGCGACACGTGCACGCGTCAGCATCGCTTGAAGTTTGTTTTGCTTGAACAAATCAAGTCACAACTTGTGAATGCTCAGAGATTGATGCATTTATTGACACGTTTGCTAGCGTCTAGTGAGTCAAGTTATTCATTTATTATCGGTGCCGTCAGTAAGAGCGAAATGAAACCCTTTAAAAACCGCTAAATTGATTTAAAACCTATTTGATTTCGCTTTATAGAATAACCGGTTTTTTAAGGTTGAGCCAAACCTAAATAAAACGCTCCTAATATACTTGACACTGATTTAGGTTTGAAAATTAACCGGTAAACAAGCCCTGCTTTGGTGGTCGTTTACCATCAGGCGGGCCATACGCTTGTTGGATAGCTTTTAAACATAAAAACAATATTTATATTCCTTTTTGTCAGGACATGAGTTGGATCCCGCATCTACGAGCTGCTACAAGTACCACTATGACTGCGTGAGGTGGCACCGCGCCAGCATGATCTGCGCAGCGGAGGGCGCGCACCTCGTCATACTGAACAGCGCACGGGAGGCGCAACTTATGATTGACAAGTATTCAATAACCTAGAGACATTATTATCAGCCTATTAGGCGCTTTGCAGGCGGCGGGGCGGAGCGGGCCGTCAATTTCGCCGCGAACGATAGCACAAAGTGAATCCTATACTACAAACGCACACAGAGGGCAAAAAGACCGCGCCGCAGGTGCGTGGATGGTGGTGCCGTGGATCATACAAACCAGTTTATATGCAGTAACGCAGACGGCGGCGCGGGGCGGCTAGCTCAGTCCGCGCCACGCGCTTTTTAGTGATGGACTATTCACTAGAACGAACGTCCTGAACTGACTGCCTCTGCCCGTCGTGTGCTTTGTGTACGCGGTGAGAGCAGCCGCAGACATCGACGGGCAGACGCGGTTTTTATTGCTTCGCGGACAAAAAGCCCGCCCCTGCAAAGCGCCTTAATGTCCCCACTGCTGAGGCATAGACCTTCCCTATGGATGGTCTGTGGACATTTCGCCATTACATTCGTAGCGGCCTGCGAACCCTTTACAGATGGGTGCCAACGAATGCAGATGTTGCCGGGACCAACGGCTTAAAGATAAAGATTGTGCTGTATTTATACTAATGTAGGTACTTTGTGATTGTTATGTTGTCTCGAGGACGACCAGGATTGCCTAAGTTAGCGTTCAGTCTGCGATCTTATAAGTCGGGTATCTTACGTGACCAAACATTTATTATTTCGAGCTCCTCCGTGCTTCGGAAGGCACGTTAAGCCGTTGGTCCCGGCTGCATCTGCAGTCGTTAGCACCCACCAATCCGCACTGGGCCCGCGTGGTGGATCATGGCCCAATCTCCCTATTCCATCTACAGGGAATTCCTGTGCCTCAGCAGTGGGGACGTCAATAGGCTGATGATGAAAGTAGCCTCCTGTAAACAAAGCTAGCATGTCAGCAAACCAGCGTGGCAATCGCCTACCGAGATTGCAATGGCTATCACTTATGATTTCATTTTCTTATTTCTAACCGCTGAAGGTTTTGAAAGGCCTCGCGCTCGTGTTTTTTCTTTTGCATTGATAATAACAATATTAAAGAAAATGAGCGTAAGTGTCGCTGCACAAAGGCCACACGCCACAGCCACGAACGCCGCCAAGAGAAGCTAGAAGCGGCTACTAAAGTGGCTGAAGCGCGCGACAGCGGCCGACTAAGGTAAGGGAGAGAGGGGTGAGAAATCGCGCGAGTGGCGGCATTTTGTATCGGCGCATGAAGTGGCCAGTGCGAGCCACAAGAAGCGAAGGCCACCGGCGTACCGTGTATGGCGAGTCCATATAAAGTGTATGAAAACTACAAGAAATATGCCGGTGGCGGAGTTTTGTGGTTGTGGTCAGTGGCCCGTGTGCGGCGACACTAAGGTACCATTTTAAACCTACCGTTTCTACCATTTTTAATGCTGTACGAATGAAATGAATGAATTAATTAATGAAATTATACTTTATTCAAATTGACTTATTGTAGCTTTGGAATCGTCAAATATTTTTTCCTACTACCCATTTGTGGAGGTTCACAAAATTGTGTGAGAAAATCATTATATGCCAGTAACTCGCCTGATCATCAAATATCTTTTGTGTGGAAAGAGTTAATACTTTGTGTACAATCATGTACACTATTTGTTCAAGGTTCTCCAAGAAACCCATCAACTGTAACGGGAACACGGTCCGCCACGCGGCGGCGTTATTTCACATTGGATTCCACAACGTGGGCTTCGAACGCTCATTCTGGTTCACGGTTGATGGTATTGTACTTCTCTCCTCGAACTTCCCATCTCCTCTTACTTCACAGATTTACACCAGAATAATAATTAAATTAATAAAAAAATACGTGTGGCACTCGGAGACTGCCGCGGTAAAGCTATTGCATAGCATTTTTATCAATTTATGCAATTATAATTATTTATTTATGCAGTATTATTTTTTCTTTGATATTAATTCAAGTTACTATTTTTGAGCGTGGTGACCGACAAGAAAACATTTGTTTTTCTTTTATTTAATAATTGAGAAGTTAATATTGTTTAAAATATTTTTATTATCTTATAATACATGTAGGTTATTCAGAATTTTTTGTCGTTAAAACTATAGGTTTATGGTAACTGAAATAAGAAGTTAGCAGCTAGTCTACACGCATACGTCTAGTCGTACGCACAGAAACACCGTGCCGAAGTCTACCGATTTGAAACGATGATTAGACGATGCACGACTTTTAACCATCTTTCAACGCGCCGCACCGCTGTAAGCCGTGCATCGTTTAGACGAGGGCGACAGGTTTTTTCGTTACGGAATTTCTTGATTCGGTCGCCGCGCTCAAAGCCCGCGATAATAATTAAATAAATAAAAGCTATTCAATAGCTTAAAAATATTTCTAACACTCACACCAATTAGCCTAGCCCCAAAGTAAGCACGAATGGTTCGTATTATAGGATACTAAGGTAACAAATAGAACACATTACTAAAAGTATATTTTATGTTGATATAAATCATCCTATCATCATCCATACTTGGTACAAATCTCGTATTCATTACACAAACATCTGGCCCAACCGGGACTCGAACCCAGGACCTCTCGAGTAGGCGACACCATCGTAGTCGTTATATACAGGGCGTCCCACGGCTACCTCACACGGAGGGAAAGTATGTTAAATATTGAAGATAGGACATTTTACTGAAACAAGACATCATTTTATTTTTAATAATAACTAGAACTTCATTCACAGATTTTTTTTAAATCGCGTGCTACAACTGGGAATCAAACTCGTGAAATTTCGAAAAAAATAACACGGCATTTTTTTTGATAACCATCGAAATGGTTAATATAAAGATTATTTTTTGCTTAATGACATAGTATTTTAAATAAAAGGAATGTGAATTACGTGATACAAATAATAAAGTGATATACAAACTGTAGTACGTATGCATTTCTTTTTGAACTCAGTTACAATTCGACTGACAGAAATTTGTAATAATAATAATTCGAAAATGGAACACATAAATTTTCAAGTGTCTGTTCTTTTGTTTTTTGTGAGTTTTATTTTCATTTATTTGCAATTTTTTGTTAATTTACTTACCATGGCTTATCAAAAATCTTTCTCTATCTCTATCTTTCTTTAATTATTTAAACACATATCGAGAAGATTTGTCTCTATCAGGATATCTTTATCTTTAATGATATGTCTTTTATGTGGTTCATAAAGTAAGCTTTTAAATCTATTTTATTTTGATGCGCCATGGTAAGTAAATTAACAAAAATTGCAAATAAACTAAAATGAAACCCCCGAAAAACAAAAGAACACAGGCTTGAAAATTTATGTGTTCCATTTCGAATTATTATTACAAATTTCAGCCAATCGCATTGTAACTGAATTCAAAAAGAAATGCATACGTACTACAATTTGTATATCACTTTATTATATTTATCACGTAATAAGAAGACATTCCTTTTATTTAAAATGCTATGTTATTTAGCAAAACATAGTCCTTATGATTGACCCTTTCGATGGTTATCATAAAATATGTCGTGTTTTTTTTTTCGAAATTTCACGAGTTTGATTTGTAAAAGGTGATTTAAAAAAAATTGAATGCAGTTCTAGTTATTATTAAAAATAAAATGATGTCTTCTTTCAGTAAAATATCCTATCTTCAATATTTAATATACTTTCACTCCGTGTGAGGTAGCCGTGGGACGCCCTGTATATTGGTCTTCAATTTGTACATGTGACGACACTGTATGAAATAAAACAGGGGGAGAAAAGTAGCCCTTGCTGAGTTTCCTGCCGATTCTTCTCAGTATAAGGTCTCCGGTCGTAGATTTACGAACCGACGGCGTAGCTTCTAGACATTCATGAGTGCTTGTATTAACTTTTTCTACTTTTTCCAATGATTTAGCAACTGCTGATTGACACTTATTAACTTGTGAGATAGTATTTTATATAATAAAACTCTGTTTTCACCAAACATAAACTTTACTGCTCGATATCAAGTTGACAACCACCAAAAACAGTATTACCATCCTAAAAAAACATATTAATCATTGCCATTACAATAACTAAATAACTACTAATTTGCAATTCTCTTACATTCGGTCAATTCTGACACATAACGCGCCCTCGCGTTGACATAAACACAACATAAGTAATGAAATTCTCTTACATTCGCAACACATAAAAACATTAAAGGAGAAAAAAAAAACAAACTCTTCAACTAATAATACCACACAAGAAACTTTCCTCAATAATCACACCAAGCTGTACCACATAGGGTCACATAGGGTCCTTCAGTGCCACGCAGGGTAAACCCTCCGCAATAATCAAATCACATCAATCTCAGTACCACGCAGGGTCACATAGGGTCCTTCAGTACCACATAGGGAAACCCACCTCAAATAAAAAAAATCAAATCACATCAATCTCAGTACCACGCAGGGTCACATAGGGTCCTTCAGTACCACATAGGGAAACCCCCCTCAAATAAAATCGTATCCTTGGTAAATCAAATCCATCTCAGTACCACACAGGGTCACATAGGGTCCTTCAGTGCCACACAGGGAAAACCCTCCTTAATAATCAAATCAATCTCAGTACCACACAGGGTCACATAGGGTCCTTCAGTGCCACACAGGAAAAACCCTCCTCAAATAAAATCGTATCACACTAAACAGACAAAACTTTGCCAAACATGGTAGGTATCTCTGAAGTAAGGTTTCTAACATCCTTAAATTCCAATTAAGTATACTTATCAGCAAACATCTTCTTTTCTATAACATAAATATTAGTAACAAACATTGACTTTTAGATAAATAATCGAAAATCAGTCTTATCCCCTTAGAGTCAACTGCATATAAATATAGAAAACTAATCAAAATTCAGTCTTATCCCCTTAGTGTCAACTGCATAAATATAGAAATAATAACAACCCAACAATTACAAATTTAATAACTATATTATTATTACAGTTCTTCATTACCAGTATCTGAATCAGTAGCCATGGGATCAGTAAAAAACACCATCCAAGGGTGAATTTTGTCAACCGAAAATACATTTTTATATGTCGATTTACCGTCTTTCTTTGTTATAGGCGTGTCTTCCACCTCATATCTATCATTGTCTAATACTTTAGATATCCTATACGGTCCACAACACTTTGGCAGTAGCTTCTTGCTTTGACCAGGTTGACCAGTTAGGTCTCTTTCCACTCTAACCAAGTCTCCCACCTTGTAATGACTCGCTTCCTTTCGCTTCTTATCAAACCGTTCTTTTTGCTTGACTTGTTCATGTCTGACTCTCTGCGCTACTTCTACTCTCATTTCATCACGTTCCTGGACTTCATTAGATTCTGACACTAACGGGTTCATGATTCCATCTGAGTTTCCTGTAGGACTAACCCCAAAGAGAATCTCAGAAGGTGTCTTGCCAGTCCCTTTGTTATGGGTATTATTAAGGCCCCATTGTACTTTTGGAATTGTAGTATCCCATTCACTTTCTGGTCTACCATAAAGGCTTGTTGTAATAGCATCTATGATAGAACGATTATATCGTTCTATTTGACCATTAGCCCTAGGCATGGCTACCGCGTTAAGTATATGTATAATATTTCTTTCTTTTAAAAACGATTTAAACTGGTGACTAGTAAAACTAGATCCACGATCGGTAACCAGCCGCCTAGGTACGCCAAACAGCGCGAAATATTCATCGAATACGGCGATAGTAGTTTTGGTTTTACAATTTTTGACCGGTTTAATGTAAATAAATTTTGAGAATGAATCTATTATGGCTAAAATATAGCAGTTTCCGCGCTTACTTTGAGGAAATGGGCCGCAATGATCGGCATGAAGCGTATCAAAAGGTTTATCTGGCTTGGGAATAGGGTGTAACATCCCTTCTTTAGGTCCACTTGGTACTTTATTATGTGCGCAATGTAAACATGCTTTACAATATTTCTTTATGAATTTGCGCATGTTCTTAAACCAATAGACCTTCCTGATACGCTCATAAGTCTTTTCAAAGCCAAAATGGCCCACCTCATCGTGATTCATTTTTAGAATTTGCCATCTTACGGCTTTTGGAACGACCCACAGAAGAGTTGTCTCATCATTTCTTTTTACCTGTCTGTATAAGCGATTATTTTTAATTGTGAAATTTTCTTTTATTTCAACGACTATATTCATTGCTGGATCTTTCAGGATATCACTTATAAGCTGTAATTCCGTATCTGCATGTTGAACAGTCTGCAACCAGTCAGCATCAATATCAATGTGAAATACATTGATATCATCGCGATGTACTGGGACTTCTGACTCAATTGGCATCCTACTAAGAGCATCCACATGCGCCATTTTCGCGCCCGCTCGGTACTCTATAGTAAATTCAAATTCTTGCATGGCCAGGTACCATCTGGCAACACGCGGTACTAAATCCTTTTTAACCATCGTGCTGCGTACTGCCTCACAGTCCGTTACCAGTTTAAAGGTAGCTCCAAGAAGATACACACGGAAACGGTTAAAGGCTGAAATGACAGCTAGGGTCTCTAATTCATAAGAATGAAATTTTTGTTCTTCTGGCGAAGTTTGGCGACTGAAATAAGCTATGGGTTGGAGATCCTTCCCATCATCTTGAAACAATATGGCACCAATACCATATTTACTTGCATCCGTGTGTACTTCCAATGGCGCTGCCGGGTCATACAGAGCCAAAACAGGTCTACTTATCAACTTTTCTTTTAATTCATTAAAAGCCTGAATCTGCTCTTAACCAAATCGCCATGGTTCATTTTTCTTGGTCAGCACCGTTAAGGGTCTCGCTATTATAGAAAAATTCTTGATAAAGCGGCGGAAGTAACTTGCCAGACCTACAAACTGTCTAACTTCATGCACGTTAGTTGGCCTGGGAAATTTCTCCACCGCTGCAATTTTGTGTGTTCCTGGTCTAATACCTTTATTCGATATTTCAAATCCGAGATATTCTATACTCTCTTGGAAAAATGAACATTTTTCGGCGTTAAGCGTCAGTTTAGCGTCCATCAACATTTTGAAAGCCTCTTCTAAACTCTGAAGACCTTCTTTGATTGATTTCGATGGAATAAGTAGATCATCCATGTATGCGAGCACACGTTTGTTTTTGGCATTCTTTATCATAGTGTTTATGGTACGCTGGAATACACTAGGCGCATTTGCCAACCCGAACGGCATACGATTATATTCGTATAATCCGTCCGGGGTAACAAAAGCCGTCAAATGCTTACTCTGTTCGGAAACTGGCACCTGATAATAGCCCGACGCTAAATCTAAGCTAGTAAAATAATTATTACCGCCCAATTTATCCATCTGATCTTCGATTCGGGGTAGAGGATATTTATCCTTCATAGTTTTCCGGTTCAACGCACGGTAATCTACACATAAACGTTTCTGTCCGTTTTTCTTATTTACCAATAGAACCGGACTTGCGTAGCACGATGAACTAGGTCTTATAATTCCATTTTCAAGCAAGTCGTCAATTATAGCCGCAAGTTGCTCTCTTTCTTTCAAGGACATTCTATACGGGTTGTAGACCACCGGTATATCATCATTCAGTTTTATAACCATCTCCGCCAAATTGGTTTCTCCCAACTCAGAAGAATCTAAAGCAAAACACTTTCTGTATTTTTGCAATAACTCACGAAATTCGTTATACTCATCTTCAGATAATTGTGTGTCTATTTTTAATGATTCGAAAAGTAGAGTTTTCGCAGAACTTTCAGCACTGTGTTGTTACAATATTCGTTGTATCATGTTTCCCAGTATCCATTTCCGTCCGTCCTATGTATGGTTTTGCGCTCTCTTCGAACGTATATCCTCTAGCAACCGTAGTACCCTTCTTTAAAATTATAGGTTTGTTTCCGACATTCGCCAGCATGACATAGCCTTTGCTTTCATCAAATTTGTACAAACCAGGCAATATTACATACCGTTCATGTAAGTCGTTATTATGCCCACCAGGTACGTATAGCGATCCCGTGAATGGGCGGTCGGTATGCGCCTCAACTGGGCATGAGGAGGAACTGCTTAATTCGATTTGAAGAGAAATATCAAGTTTATATTTTGATGATAACTCTACACACGGAATGGGTGCATTGTAAAAGAACAACTCATTATACGTTTTATGAACTGCTATGTTAGGCAGTTCTGTGAATGTCTGTCCGATAATGACTCTGCACGGCATGAAATGATCGGGTGCAACCACAATTTGCATAACTGTTTCAGCGGCATCCACGCAAATGTGAGCAGTACAAATGCCTAAAGGCTTGACCGATCCATTTCCAAATCCTGTCAAATTACCTAGTTCTACGCTGGTGTCCCATTCATGAAAAATATTCTTGGCATCTGATTCTCCGATTATAGTACAACTGGCTCCATAGTCTATAAATGCAGGCAACTCTACGTTGTTGACCTTGACATTTTTGTAAAATTTCTCACTATCCTCGATGTTTGCCTGAAATCCCATTATTCTATTGACATTAGGTATTTGTGCTGATGTTGATGCTGGTAAAGCGAGGGGTTCACTGTTATCACTCGCCGTAGCTAATGTCCTCGCTCTACAATCACGGGCAATATGTCCGACTCTCCTACAGAGATGACATCTTTTCTGGTTACTTGGACATTTAGTACGTATATGTCCCGATTCCCCACAGCCAAAGCATACGACGTCTACCTTATTAGTTTCTGTAAAAATTGTCTGATTTGGTCTTGGAGTTGGATTCATTACTCTGTTCGGAATAATGTTCCGAATCCTATGTTGTGTGTTTCCATCACTCGGGGCTAGAGTTCGTAAGTACGATAATAGATGTTCAGGTTCTTTTAATTGGCATGCATTAACACTCATACGAATAAGTTTATCGTCAATTCCATGTACTAGGCATCCAACTGCCTTTTGGCCTGAAATCTCACATTTGTTGAGTAAAGACATTTTCTCGTAGTAGTAAACATCCAATGATTGTCCATGCTTACAACGGTATTGTAACATTTTTGACAATAAGTCACCGTAGTTTTCTGTCGATGGAAATGCAGATTTCAATTTGTCGGTCCATTGTGCCCATGTAAACAATAACGATGGTAACCCTTCATACCAGCGCTTCGCCAGTCCTCTCAGTTTTGGCAATGCATAATGAGATGTCTGTCTATCGTCCCAACGATAAATCTGAGCGCACTCATTAACCTTGTGTATCCAAGAATCTATAGTCTGTGTACTATCACTGGGGTGAAATTCAGGTATTACATTTAAATTTGCTGTAAAACCATGTGGCCAAGCGTTGGTCATGTTCATCATTTGAGTAAGCATTGTATCTTGATTTGTTCCTGCACTAGTGTTGTTAGCTGTTGGTGAGTGTTTATCTACCGATGAAGAGGGCACAGCAGTAGTACATGTTGACATTGCTGACTCAGCATTGTAACGACGTGAAGTTTTGCTACTCTTAGATAACGGGGGGGTTTGCACACCCGAGTCGCTTGAACTAGTAGAGCTGCTCGAACTGCTACTAGAGCGTTTCCTACTCTTCTCTTAACGTTTCTTTCTACTTACTTTTTCATTGTTATTGCTTCTTTTTGTTGTCTCTGATTTTTTACTTTTATGCTGCTCTTTAGTTTTCTTATCAGACAAACGGGACTTACTACGCTTGCGCGACTCCGATCCCATGGTTACGTTACAGTTAGTATTTATTTAAATTACTACACGTTATAAAAAAAAAAGTGAATGAATACTTTGTACTTTTAATATCACTCAAGATACGACACACTTATTTTTATTATTTAAAACTGAATATAACACTCAATAAAATCAACAGTATGACACACAAATCCACAATAGTACCTCCGTATTATGGATGTAACATATTAACTAAGTCCACAAACAACTCAAGAAAAATTAAAAAAGAAAATGATTTGACACCTCTAAAATTAAAATACTCTATTTATTTATTTATTTTATTTTTTAACAAACAAGAGACATCAAATCACCCTTTGTAAAACAAAGACATGACACACAAATCATCATAAAATCTCAGTACTACTACCTATGTAATAAAATAAAGTTTGTGAACTACTACAAAAACAAAAAGGAAAGAGAAATAGCTTAAGTATTCTCAAATGTGAACTAACATCTTCATATATTATAAGTAATAATTTTTTTTTCAGAATACTATTTGAAGAAAAAAAAAAGGAAAGAAACTTTGTTCTATATTATTAATAAGCAAAGCAACAAAAAAAAATTATTCACATATTTATTTACTTATTTATCAACTAACTAGCCTATCTATTAGCATATGAGTAACTATTATGAGTTCTTAGTACACCAAACTATTTTAAGAAAAAAAATAAAACAAAATCTAAACAGAAAGTTCTCCCCTGTTAGTTTCCGTCTCGCAATCTATTTTTGTTTACGTAAGCTTTATTTTCTTCATAATACACTAAAACAACGTTAGTAAAAAAAAAATAAAGTAAAAGTTTCATTCAATTCACGCAAAGAATTCACGTACTATTACGCATAAAATTATATATTCAAAGTAATCACACTTTTGGTTCAATAACGCCATCTAACGACACGAACATGAGTTAACAGGCACATCTGGCGGCGTGAAGAAACATCTCTATTATTTTGACGTACGTCATGTCATCGCCTCACATCAATACCTGTCGATAATAGTTCAAACGTAAACGCACAGGTGGCGTTTATTTTCACTCCGCGTCGGTAATTTTGCAGTAGGTATGAAACCAAACTAAGGAACTTCTAGTTTATCAAAATATATAGTTTCGGAGACTGTACTGCACACCAACAAACGCAATGAACTAGCTCTCTGTAGAATTAGCACAATCCAGGAAGTTTGCCGTCGTAATAACGAAAAATTGTCACTGACCTTTGGCGGCATTACCTACCGCATGCAAACGGCCGAAACGTACGTGTTTTCGCTGCTCACTTCTGAAATATTAACTTTTTCTACTTTTTCCAATGATTTAGCAACTGCTGATTGACACTTATTAACTTGTGAGATAGTATTTTATATAATAAAACTCTGTTTTCACCAAACATAAACTTTACTGCTCGATATCAAGTTGACAACCACCAAAAACAGTATTACCATCCTAAAAAAACATATTAATCATTGCCATTACAATAACTAAATAACTACTAATTTGCAATTCTCTTACACTTGTAACAGCCTAAACTGAATAAATGACTTTGATTATGATTATGATTATTGTAAAAGCCTAAACTGAGTAAATGATTTTTGAATTGAATATACCTATTTAAAACAACAAAAGAAAAGATAATAATTCTCAAAAAAAACAATCTTCCTATCCATATGGAAGTAACACTGTCTTCCTGGTTTCCATTCACCAATAGTTATCACAAGAACACCGTACGCCGAGCTAGGTAGGCACAGATTCAGAACGCCATTAGACTTTGGCATCCTACTATCCATACCAATATTATAAAAATTCGAAAGTTCGTCTATATTAAATCTGTCCCCCTTCACGCTTAAACTATTGAACTGATTAAGATGAGGTATGCAGATATTTTGAGACCCGGGAAAGGATTTACCTACCACAGTTTTTATTCCAGAAATCATCTTTTAAGGGCTTGAAAAGGTACCAATGGGTGTTTGTTTGGGAATCCAATTATGCCACGCAGACGGAGTAACCTTAAAATATCATTTCAGGCAAACGCATCGAGGACTCTGGCTACTCTGAGTGGTCTGAAAATGAGCCAAACAGTCTGACAGAGTCCTGCGGCGGCGTTAACAGAAACCACTTGGGCCTCTACGACATAGATTGTAGCGAGCGGGTGCCTTTCATATGCGAAATCACCGACCCCAAGACCGTTTTCAAAACAAATGACTATTGAATAAAGAAATATTTATTTATACTTAAAGCTGTGGACTTATTACACGCATTCCCTATTTTGCAGGACATCAAAAGTTATTATGAACATTTTCGTCATCAGCCTTTTAATGTGGGGATTTAAGAAAGCCGGCTGTGCCCAGAGTTTTGCTGTGGTTAGACTAAGGACACTGGGCCTTGACCAACCGAGCGGCCCCAGTGCGGATTGGTGGGTGATAACGACTGCAGATGCAGCCGGGACTAACAGGACCTGTGCATCGAGATCCCATGGCGTCACACCCGCGAGTACGCAGGCGGCGCCGTGACTAGACCCGTCTTTCCCAGTGGGCTTTTTGGGAAAGTGCCCAGGGCCCCGTGATCGATAGTTGCCCCCTCAGATCAAATACAAAGTCCCTAGTTCATGTCAGATCACCAAACGATAACCAATATTTATTACCAAAAACCTATTTTAATTTGCATGAAATCGAACCTAAATTATTGATTACAATACAAACTTACTAGCTTTTATTTAACTCGCTGCATTTCAAGTCATAATCCACATCAAAGTTATAGGGGCCCCATTATCCTAATATGCCCAGGGCCTCCAATAGGTGAAAGACGGCACTGGCCGTGGGTGACCGTTCGGTACGCTCAAACGGCCCGGGTAGCGATGGTCGTCTGCGGTCGTCGCAGCAGAGCCACCGTCCGGGGTCTGTGGTACTCTACCCAAACTGGGGCTCCATAGAGTACCATTGATTGTATCACCCCGTGATACAGTCGACGGCACGCATCTTCTGGTCCCCCCACGTTTGGGAGGACCCTGCCGAGTGCAGCTGCGGCGGCGCGCAGCCGTGGATCGAGGAGCTTGAAAAGCTTCTCGGTACTCCATCGGGGATGCCACCAGGCCGGTAAATGCCCACCCCGACTAAAAATGCTCATAGTGTTAACACTGTAAAAAAAAGAAATACGTAAGTAATTTTAACGTTTATATATATTACTTTATCGAAAATATAAACTTGACATTAACTAAATACACCACATTATAAATGAAATGAAATGGTACTTTATTCAAACTGTAAGCTCTTTTGAATCGTCCAATATTTTTTCCTAACACTCATTTAGGACATCTTTTAGCTGATATATCTGTTTATTTATCTTTAACAAAGTTTGTAGAGCGATCTTTGTGAATTTAATACAATAAAATATAAATACAATCTTTAGGCCATCTGATGAGAAGAATGGGTGCAAGAAATTTATCAGCATGTATTAGAGGTAACAACATAAAAAAAAAATCATATCGCTACCAATACAATCTCCACTCACATTTTAATTGCTGTGTCATACAGTAAAAACAAATACAAACAGTGTTCTAATAGGTATGCCGCGTATTCATTAGGCAACATTTGTTGACCATGTGTCAATTCTGGCAGGAATCTCTAAATTTAAAACGAAATTTAACATCATCCTTTTCATTCTGTATAGAGAATGACAGAGATACACTGTTGTCAAATTTACGTTTAGCTTTAGAGAATCATGCCAGAATCGACACCACTGTTTATGACGTTCATCACCTTGTTTATAAACAAGTTTACCGTAAACACAACACTGTTTCTGAAACATTGCCGTTCACACTAGTCAGTTGCCAGTACTAAGGCTGCCAGATGCTGGCTTATCAGTTTCGGGACATTTGCACCCCCCCCCCCTGAAAATATAAAGCATCAAACAAACCCCCCATCACCCCCCAGAAGTAAAACATCAAGCAGGTGTCATTCATTCGTTATTAGTTTGTTTTGTTACGAAACTAGCACATTATCGGAATCCGGGACAATAAGGTGTAATTGCTGGACACGGGACAACGCATATTCCCCTGGACAATCCCGGAAATTCCGGCCACCTGGCAACCTTAATTGATGCTAGGATGTTGCCCGAGGAGCTAGTATTGCTCTGTGCTACTCACATAGTAATTCATGAGAGTACTACAGAGAAAAAGGATAAAGTGTTAGGTTCAAAACTACATTTTAAATAGAAGTTATGTATTTCATTTCATAACCTTCGTGGATTTGATGGTGTTTCATAACTTCACAAGAATATCAAAAACTGATTTTGTATTAATATTATTGATATTGATTGGGCCATCAATAACAAGACAGGAAACGAAATTTCGGAATTCTATTCAGCTCCAGCTAAGATTAGCTATTAATTAAGGATTTTTTGCAAGGTGACTCATATGTCCCACTGTCATATACTGAAAATCAACTGGATCATACCAGAAGTGTGAGCCTCGAAACTTGGTCATTGGACAATGTATCTGTAACAATGTGTCATCACCTTTGTTTATAAACAATCCCTAGATTGATGGAAGTGACACAACATTGTCAAATACTGTTTATAAAAAATTAAATGTTTATAGAGTCTGTTGAGAAAGAGAATTGGATTTAGATTGGAGGGCGCTGTAGTGCTTTTCTACCGTATTTGTAAGGTTTTACCCCTTTTAGACATGATTAAATACAAAAAACCGCAAGAAATCACAACAACAAACAAATCCGTATCAATACAAAATTCTGACGTTTTACATATTGCTGGGTTAGATTGCCAAATAAAAATCTAAAATTAAGATTCCGTGTTTCGCCACGCCCATTCTCTTTCCGCACAGAATCTACACAAATGTTGCCTAATGAATATGCAACATTAATCTTTCAATATTAGTTATAATAGATAACATCTCTATAGTAACGCAGTTTAGAGCAGAGCCATCCCCGCTGGCAGCACTCGTTCACGAGCATGACGCATGAACCAGCCATCGCTTCGCTCAATCATATTTTAGGGAACGTAACGACCCGCCTCGCACTAGCCTCACCTCATAAAATTCATATAAGATTGATATTATTATGTAAGGATATGCAAAAGGATCGTTTGCAATTTTAATTCCAATAATAAATAAAATAAATATAACCAACACTCACACCAATTAGCCTAGTACCAAAGCACGGTAATATAATAGCGTTCGCTGATGACACTGCTCTACTGTTTCACGATGATTCGTTAAAAGAGGTTTTTGATCGGGCACAGGAAGGACTGAATGTGGTATCTAACTGGTTGTCGGGGCACCTTTTAACCCTGAATGTCACAAAAACCAAGTTCATTATCTTTTCCTCTGGGCGGCAGACTCAACATGATGATCTCTCTCTGACGGTTCACTCTTGCTTATCTAGTAATAACTGCGCTTGCTCTAAAATTCTAAAGACAGATAGTATTAAATATCTCGGTGTAATGATTGATTCAGTGCTCAGCTTTTATCCCCATATTGAGCTCCTGGCGGGTAGAGTAAGGAAGCTCATTTACATTTTTAAAACTCTTCGCCATGTTGCGGACTTTCAAATTATTAAATCAGTTTATCTCGCCTTATGCCAATCAATCTTCATCATATCAGCCGTACGACGCCCACTGCTGGACATAGGTCTCCCCCAAGGATCTCCACAACGATCGGTCCTGCGCTGCCCGCATCCAGCGTTTTCCCGCGACCTTCACCAGATCGTCGGTCCACCTTGTAGCGGGTCTTCCCACTGAGCGTCGTCCGGCACGCGGTCGCCATTCGAGAAACTTTCCGCCCCAACGGCCATCGGTTCTCCTTGCTATGTGTCCCGCCCACTGCCACTTCAGCTGGGCTATTCTTTGAGCTATGTCGGTGACTTTCCTTCTCCTACGGATCTCGTCATTTCTGACTCGATCACGCAGGGAAATACCAAGCATACCAAGCAATCAATCTTAAGTTATTGTATTTCATCATGGGGAGGAGCTGCAAAGACACATCTGATCAAAGTGGAAAGAGCGCAAAGGCTTGTACTGAAGGTTGGTGCTTCACTCCCAATTCTTCATCCCACGAGTCAAGTTTACAGGATTTGGGAGGTGCTTACTGTCCGTCAGCTCTTTATATTATCAACTGTTCTCCGTAAGCAGTCTCAGCTTCATTTTGATAGGAAACCTCTAAATGGTAGACGACGTAAGGGAACTGTTTGTCCTACCCGCCCTTTAAAAACTAAGTTCACAAAAAGATTCTTTTGCTTTATGGGTAGCTACCTTTACAATAAATTGAACACAATCCTTTCCTTCTATTCAATGAGCAAAAGGGACTGTAAAAGAAAACTAAGCTCATGGCTACTTAAGCTAACATATGACGGAACAGAGGACCTATTGCTCACCTCAGGATAATATACCGCGAAAATATCAGCTGTCTGTCTTACACTTATCACGTTTACACACACAAGCACGCACACTCACACTCACACCAAATACACACACATACTGCATAGAATTTCATACAAATACACCCTTTGTTTAACCTGTGTCAATTAAAATTAGTAAACTTTGTTAAATTTATATTCATACTCATGTTATTTGTTAACCAACATTGGCGATTCGAGGTGATGGGAGCCTGATGACCTGTAACACAGGTATATCGTACCTAGCACGGGCATCAGTCTCACACAAACATTAATGTAATGAACTATTTAAAAAATTGTTATCGATGCCAAAATGTTTATGATGAGAAAATAAACGATTTATTATTATTAAAAAAATATTATCTATACAGTATTGTGACTCGACCCTGTCCTTAAAATAACTGCCTACGGCCGAGCGGGGCGTTAACACGCGGTAGGGCTGCCCGCATACAGTATTTTAGTTTCATCTACATAATTGAGTTTCTTTCTAGTTTTGTGATTGTAAATATTTTATTTTGACGTTATAAGTTGATAGTAAAACTCAAAAGTTTATTTTATTCTTCTTATAGAGCATTTTTTTTTATTTCATAAAAATTTAATGGAGCAATGGAGCTTAACTCGCATTCGTTATCTCCTTTCATTAGTTCTTTCATTTGATACCCATATTGTATGAGTGCAATGAGAATAACTAGTCCGCAATCTTGGGTATTCCGCCATGTTAGATTTAGAGTGACGTCACTTTATATTTCGAGCTATTCTCCGCAAGTCCTTTAATTTGATACCCATATCGTAGGAATGCATTAAAAATAACTATTCCACCATGTTGGATTTAGAACGACGTCACACAGCTAACAGTGGTTTTTAATCAAAACGTGTACATACAAAATTTCAGCTCAACCGGTTGAAGATATCTGCTTCAAAATTGAGTTGCAAGATTCCATCCGAACAAACATAGTTACATACCTACCTATATTGCAAGGTAATTAAAAGCTTGTAAAAACCCGACTGCTGATTTTTATTCTTGGAAAATGAGATTTCGTCGATTTGCATCAGGAAGATTATTGATCTCACCTCTTAAATATTAGTATTTCTAGATATTTTTCCGTATTTAGATTCTCTTTGTAAAAATGTATTAAGAAAACCCGGTTTTTAACTAAAATGAAAACACACAATAAAAAGAACAGTACCCTTAGCACGAACCAATATCGAATTCGAATAGTTTTCGAGTGCGAAATGTCATTGTTAAATGTATACTAATTTTTAGTTCTCGTTACGTACTTTGTGGTGCTGCTGTATAAGTTTCCATACAAAATTTGACATTGACATTTCACACTCGCAAACTATTCGAATTCGATAATGATTCGTGCTAGGGGTACAGAAGCTTGAAAATGTATGTGTTCTATTTTCAAATTATTATTTTTACAAATTTCAGCCAATCGCATTGTAACCGAGTTCAAAAAGAAATGCATACATACTACAGTTTGTATATCACTTTATTATTTTTATCACGTAATAAGACATTCCTTTCATTTAAAATGCTATGTTAATTAGTAAAAAATAATCTTCATGATAAACCCTTTCGATGGTTATCATAAAATATGTCGTATTTTTGTTTTTCGAAATTTCACGAGTTTAATTCCCAGTTGTAGCAGTCGATTTAAAAAAAATTGTGAATGCAGTTCTAGTTATTATCAAAAATGAAATGATGTCTTCTTTCAGTAAAATATCATATCTTTAATATACTTTCCCTCCTAGTGAGGTAGCCGTGGGACGCCCTGTATTTTATTCCAGATATTGTTTCCGATGGAAAAATCTAAATACCTATTGTTCTTTGCCATGTTTGTTTGTTCTTTGCCATATTAAATTATGTAGGTATCTACTTAATTCGATCAAATATTTTACAATACAAATAGCATGTTTAAGCACGGCTAACTGCATAAAAAACAATTCACATCGTTCGGTCGTCGCTGCAGCGCATTAGCGACTCGGTCCGTCCCCCCGAGAGTCCCCCGAACTCGAGTGGCGTAGGTATGATTCGCTTTCCGACCGTTTGTATAAAGATAGAATACTGTATATAATATTACCGTGACCCAGTCCTTATATCTAACATACTCCATTCATAATTGTTAAATATGTATAAATAAACTTATATATGTGTATCAGTAATACATATGTATTCTATCCGTTACCCTAGTATCCCATAACACAAGCCTACTGTGCTAACTTTGGGGTTAAACCAATAGGTGTGTGTTGAAAAAAAAGGTCATGGTAACAGGTAACAATTCCATTATGCCAAGACTCATTCAAAACCCAAGACTAGTTTTTAGCTTAACGCATCTTAATTTTTATTATTGATTGAGGTAAACGTTCAGTTTCCTGTTCACATCCGTGGCTTATGGGTGTACGAAACACAGTGCAAATAATTTAAAAAGCATAAAAAAAAATTAAAGTTTATTTTTGATGCAAGAGGAAAGTTTATTCTGGATGTTTTTTGGAAAAGAAAAAAAAAGCTTAGGTAAGCAGGCTTTTTATAGGTAATGATGTTATTTTATATTTTTATCGTTTCATCATTCTTATTGCATGGTTTGTGACTTCCTAATGAAACGTCTACTACTACACTCGAGAGCAATGAATGCGGGTCACATAAAGAATCCTAAAATAGTTTAATGAAATAAATTGTGTTTAATAGTCAATTAAATACTCCTTAAATGAAAGTAATAAAATTTGTGAGTCACCACATCTTATTTACAAAAATAGACATGAAGAAAAAATTCGTTGTTTTACGCATCTTCCTAGCTCGTCCCAAGCATGCTCGATTGGGTTGGTATCCGGACTGCGTGCTGGCCACTCCATACGAGTAATGTTCATCTCCTGAAGGTAGTCATTCACAATCCACCCTGTATGAGGTCGGGCATTGTCATGTATAAACATAGCATCTTCACCCAAATTGACCATGAATGGACCAATGTGTTCATTCAAGATTTCTTCCACATATCTTTCGCTAGTTAAAGAGCCGTTTCCTATGAACACCCTGTGCGACTCTCAGAAAAAATCCGGCCTACACGAGTACAGACCCACCTACCGTAGGATACTTTTTCTTCGATGCAGGCTTACTCGAATCTTTCCCTAGGTCTTCTATATAATCTGTGTTTTCCATCGTGCTTGTAGAGCATAAATTTTGATTCGTCGGAGAACAAAACTTTTGACCAATCATCAATAGTCCAATTCAAGTGGTTCTGTGCAAATCTTAGTCTTGAAATACGATGCCCATCTTCCAGTTTAGGGCCGTTTGCAGGTCTAAGTGCTAGACGTTTTCAAGCTAGCTTCAGCAAGTCGTCGTCTTACTGTCCATGCGCTTTGGTTACTTCCTCCGAGGCGTTGGAACTGATTTGTAATTTCAGTTCCTGTGAGAAAGCCATTTCGAAGCCTGGTGTTCACAAAGTATCGATCTTCTAGTGTTGTACCCCTGCTTTTGCCTGTTCCTGGTCTGTGTAGGTTAGAGCCAGTTTTCTCGTAACGTCGGAGAACTCTTTGTACTGTTGAGAGCGACACACCGACAGTCCTGGCTGTATCGTGCTGACTCCGGCCGGTTTCCAGCATTGTGAGAATTCTGGTGCATTTTTCAGGTGTAGGCGACATAATTACAGCTTGAATAATTAATATTGAACACTATCGACATGGTTTATATGAACAATAAATGACAGATTAGAAACTAAAGCACAAACAAATGCAGTAATTTCGTAGTTCCATCTTCGAAAGTCTCCCTTTTATCAAATTTGATTTTTTATTACATAACTTTACAATTACTAAGAAGCTATTAATTAGAATTTATTTCATTAAGCTAGCATTCTTAGTTTGCGAAATTTTTAGGATTATTTAAGTGACCCGGATTCATTTCTCTCGAGTGTATTATGCTCTATTTACGAACTACTTATTGAAAATTAACAGTTATTAACAGTTAGGACCCATTGGATATTCAAGAATGGATCTAGCTTTCTCAATAAGTGATCCCGACTGTTAAAATAGCTTTGTTCCTTACATAACAGAATTATGGACTACTGACTTGTTTTTTCTTTTCAGTTATTATTTGAAGTAATATTTAAGCAGTCGTGTCTTTTAATTTTTTAAATTTACCTTTTTATTTCACTCTTTTTAGTTAGAATTATAAGACGGTATTTACCGCAGTCTAATATTAGCCTATCGTTGGTTATTTAAGGAAACATAGTTTATAGTTTGAAGTCCGTTTATTGAGTGCAATAAAACATTACAAAATAATTGAATTAATAATATTGCTTACTTGCTAAAACTATCTACGTAAATAGCGGATTGCGACATGACCTAATTACGTTTCCGATAGGTATACAACTCAACTCCCTGGAAAAAGTCCTGTTCACCCTTCCCTTTTAAAGGAAAAAAATAAAATTAGATAGAACAATTAAGTCATGTTGCATAATGTATGTTAAGTATATTATAAGGCTAATTCCATAGTACTTAAAATTATAGTAACATAAGTTTAGTTATAAAATTAATCTAGTTATAATTATTATTTTTAAGTGTAATACAATTTCGTATTATTCTTATGTATAAGATATTCCTTATTATCCTTCAAGATTTTTACATTGGGTGACACTTCTTCAATAACTACAAATGGACCATTATAAATGTTTTGGAGTTTATCTCCTGTTTGATTTTTCACTAAAATAAGGTCACCTTTTTTATATGTAATAGGATAAGTACATTTGTCATACAATAATTTTCTTTTCAACTTACTAGAAAATAAATTATTTTTTGCATCGTACTGTGCTCTCTGTAATCGATACTTCATCTCTTTAGGGTAATCATTATAATTATACAATGGTTCTACTGACATTCCAAAGTCTGAAGGCAGTTTACAAAGTTTTCCAAACACTAATTCGAATGGAGTGTATTTTGTTAGTGTATGTACCGTAGTATTATAAGAAAATGTCCAAAATGCTAACCAGTCGCTCCAGTCTAAAGTGTTCCTATCACACTGTATTCGCAGATATGCTCCTAATGACTTATGACTATTTTCTAGAGAACCTATTGTTTCGTGGTGATAAGCCGTTGAATTTAATTTTTCTATATGTAATATTTTGCAAATATCAGTCATAATATTAGACATAAATTCTGTGCCTCTATCACTAATGATTTCCTTAGGGATTCCATATCTTAAAATAAAATTGGTTACAAAAACTCGTGCTACAGATTCGGAATCTTTACTGGGCAAAGGATACGCTTCTACAAATTTAGATAAATCGCATTGCAGCGTTAAAATGTATTTGTTATTATTAATATCAACTGGCAATGGACCCATGATATCTAAAGCTATCCTTTCAAATGCAGAGCTTGCAGTATTTGTGATAACCATTGGCTCCTTAATACTATGATTCGAAAATTTATTAAATTGACAGTGACTACATTTTTTGACGTATTCTATGACGTCATTAGTCATTCCTGGCCAATAATAGTATTGTTTTAAATTATTCAACATTCTGTTTACCCCTGCATGACCGCTAGTGGGCAACATATGAAAGTCGTTAAGTATAATTTTCTTATCCTCGTAGCTACTTATTCTTATCACATCTCTAGTAATTAAAATTTTTGGTACCTTCTGATGCAATTTTTTCATATAACTTGCAAGTATTTTTATATTAGTTGCATTTTGTTTAGTTTTAATGATTAAAATCTCATTAATATTTTGTTTTTCACAAAAAGATCCTAAATCTCTCGCTAACACCTGTGGGGTAGATAACGATCGAGTATCTAGGTATATAGTACACTGTGAAGGCACATAAATACAAAATTTCTTATCAGAGAAAAGACAATCCGTGTTCTTATTTATTTTTTCACTAGTGAAAACTAACTCTGTCACGTCCTTGGGTTTTTTAAGAATCTCTACAATCTCAGGTTGATCAGGCCTGCTACTGGTAGATAACTCTTCAGTCAAATTATTTTTATAGACCGGTTCTTTAGACTCTACCTTTTTACTTTGTGCTCGAGTAAGTACCGATACAACTTGTTCATTAAGTGATTTTAATTCCTCACACGTCATCGTAATCGGGAGTCGACTTAATGCGTCTGCAGCTGCATTATTTCGACCCGGGATATACACGATCTCAAAATCATACTCTTCGAGGTAGAGCCTAAACTTAGTTAGTCTACTGGACGGATCTTTTAAACTAAATAAATATACGAGCGGTTTGTGGTCTGTAAGGATTTTAAACCTTCTACCGTACAGATACGGTCTAAAATGCCTTACAGCCCATACTATAGCGAGCAATTCTAAATCGATTATAGGATATCTGCTTTCGGCTGGCGATAAATTACGACTTGCGTAAGCGACAACATGACCATTTTTGTTTGACAAAACGGCGCCTAATCCTGTTTTACATGCGTCTGTACGTAACTCCAAAATATTATTTTCCGAAAAATCTGGATACTGTAATACGGGTGGGGACATCAAAAGGGATTTTAATTGTTGAAATGATTTTTCGCATTCGGTTGTCCACTCAAATAAAACATCTTTTTTGCATAATTTATTTAACGGAAAAGCTATATTTGCAAAATTAGGTATAAATCTCCTATAATAATTAGCAAAGGCTAGGTATCGTTTTACGTCGTCCGCGTTCGAGGGAACCGGATACTTGCGCAATGTCTCTATTTTGCTATCGTCGGGAAAAATACCTTGCGACGTTATTTTGTGTCCTAAATAAATAATTTCGGTTTGTAAAAATTCGCATTTCATTGGATTTAATTTTAAATTGACTTTTCGTAAACGTTCTAATACAGTTACTAGGTTTTTATTGTGATTATCTATGCAATTTCCAATAACGACGCAATCATCTAAATAAATAAAAGCTTGATTATAATTGATACCTGACATAGCAATTGTCATTAATCGCGAGAAAACACTAGGAGATGTTTTTAATCCCATAGGAGAACGCTTCATCTGATACATTTTATCTGTTGTAAAGGCTGTATATTTTCGGGATTCTGGGTCCAATTCAAGTTGGTACATTTTATCTACACTAAATGCAGTATATTTTCTTGAGTTTTCGTCTAAGCATAATTGGTAATAACTTTGTGATAAGTCTAGTTTTGAAAAATAAATACTACCTGATAAGGAATCTAAAATATCGGTTATACACACATCAAAAGTATCTAGGGATCAACATATATTTTTGCAATAACTTTTCTCCTGATTGATATTAATTAAAATTTTCTTTAAGGATTCATCAAATAAAGTGTTTTCGTTTGTCACAGTAACGATAAACCAAGTCACCTTTGCATTAATAAAGAAATTTGCCATTTTCCTAATAAAGGGATTTTTGACATTTGAACCACTAACACAAAAGTTCGAAAAAAAGACTGAAATAACAGTTTTCTCTAAAATTTTATTGGGTAACTTAAACAATTAATAATCCGTATTTCTACCGCGAACACTAACAACACAAGAACATCGGTTTGGCATACTCAAAATGAGTTCATCCAAAT